CTTCTTTCTAGTCAGACATTTAGTTTAACTCCTCAATGACCAATAGTTGTAAAAGAAGTGATTGGTATTAGCTTCACCCTCGTGCAGTTTAAGACTGCATGAAGGTTAGTGCTATAAAGGTTAGGCATAAGCCTAGTAGTGAGAATATATATGCATTCATATAAGGCCAAAGTTAATCTGAAAAAGTTCCATTTAATTTTACTAGACAAGTCCGGGGAGGACCACAAAGATGATCATGGGGCTGGAGCACCTCTCCTGTGAGGACAAGACAGTTTCAGCTGTTCAGCCTTGAGAAGAGAAAGCTCCGAGGAGTGCTTATAGCACCTTCTAGTACCTGAAGGGACTCCACAGGAAAGCTGAAGAGAAACCTTTTGTCAGTGAGTGTATTGATAAGATGAAGGAAATAAATTTAACCTGAAAGAGGGAAGATACAGCTTAGCTGTTAGGAAGACCTTCTTTATTGTGGAGGTGGTGAGGCTTAGGCACAGATTGCCCAGGGAACTTGTGAATGCACAATCCCTCAAAATGTCCAAGTTCAGATTGGATGGAGCTCTAAGGAACCTGGTCTAGTAAAAGGTGTCCCTGTCTAGAACAGGGTGGCTGGAACTACTCAGCTCTTTAAGATGATCTTTAAGGTCCCTTCCTACTCAGATCACTCTGTGATTCTGCTAGGATGAGATGCAGAAGGTGGTTAGTTGACAATTTCACTCCAGACTATATCCATGTTACTGTATTGAGAGACCATACTCTTTTATCTTAATGCTTAATGAGCAATGCCAGTAGGACTCAGCTATGGCTTTTCTTTTCCCATTTTCTAAATCAAGAGTCATAATACACATATGTAGACAACAATGAGTATTCTGATATTACTTGGCTTTGCTTTGGCTTCTGTATTTGTGTCTAGAAGCCATGTCTTTGTTGTGCAGCATTTTTCCTGCAGGGCAAATATGCAGAGGACAGCAGACGTACAGTTTAAACCAAATGAGTTGGGACTTGCCAGAGGTTGCAGGCTGAGCCTACAGAAGGAAGGCAAACAAAAGTCCCTTGAATAAGTGACTATTAGAGGAACTTAGTGAGAAAACATAATTTCCTTAAGGAAGGATCAGGCCAGGATATTCAAGAAGAGCTATTCTTAGATATTTGATTTAGACCTTTTCTCCTTCAGTCTAAGGAAAAATAGCTCCATTCATAGGAAATGTTCTGTTCCCCTGAGTATGTTTTCCATTACAAGCTCTTCTGGAAACCTATTTCTCATTGCATTTCTGCTGTGAGGTTTAGAACTACTACTGAAGTTGTGCCTGAATGTATTTTTGTCCAATTTGTCTTTGTTTTCAAATGCTAATGCAGTTTTTTTGCTAGAATAGCTCTTGTATATATATTAATGCATTTTATTTTGTGTAGTATTAGGTTCAGATTAACAGGCCTAATTGTAAATCAGAGCTTCCTCCAAAGGAAGAAAAGCTTGAAAGTTGTCTTCATGCAGAATTTAATACCTCTGTGCCTTTTTGAGGAGTCAGTTGACAGAACCCAAGCCTGGCATAGATTTTGGAGCCTGTCTGATGACTGGGCTCAGGAGTCAGACTGTCCTTGTGCTGTCTGTACATCCCAAGTGTCTTCAAGGCTCTTTAGGGAGGTGATCATGCACACAGCAACTGGACTGCCTGATCTTTGTCTTCATCACTTTTGAAGTAAAAAGCAGGTGCTGGTCTCAGTTCGGTCTTACACTTTGCCCTAAGTGCAAACCTCTTTCCAAGCAGCAGCATTTGTCGTAGTTTTAGTGTGGCACTCGGGTGCTGGATATGAGGCAGGAGCAGAGGCAGTGAAATACAGGTACATCTGAACACTGGGAGCTTTTCACTGTGGGGGTGACTGGACACTGGCACAGTTTGCCCAGTGGTAGAGGCTCCATCTGTGAAGATCTTCTAAAGCCACCTGGATCTGGACAGGTGGATTCAGGTGGCCCTGCTTGGGCTTGAGATTGGACCAGAGGTCCATTCTAGCTCAGCCACTGTGTGACTCTGTTCTTCTGACCACAAGGACTGTCAGCACTTCTCTGGTTCTTCAGAGTAGTTGAGTGAGAGCAGCCTGCTGATTAGTGTTGCTGTTGGATATACTTGACTGTGGTCAGGCTCAATTGGGCTTCCCCTTTGTAAGCTTTTAGATTAATGAACTTCCAAGTTATCTCTGAACACAGAGAGATGAGGCTGGAGATGAACAGAATGTTGTAATCTCTGGAGCCTTTTGTAAATCAGGACAATTAACTCCATAAGTGTAGCACAGCCATTTAAACTAAAGGCCCTAACTTTTAGTTTTTCTTGCTTAATAATGTGTGCTTACTTTTTCTAGAGGTAAATTCAAATAAGACAGTTGTATATTCAGTGCCTATACCACAGTGCTGCTGAAATGGTTCGTGCAATTGTCAGAATACTGATAGTTTATTTGCTGAGCAACCTCTTCTGTTTTCTGAAGTTGTTGATGAAATAATTTAACTCAGTTATGGCAAATGTAAATTACAGAACAGACTCTGTTCCATAGCAGTGGCACTTCCCATTCCTCTCTTTCCTGGTGATGCCAGGGAAGTGCTGGGTGTTGGCTTACCCCTGATGTTGATGGCTCAAAAACCTGCAAACGATCACACAGAGAATTAGTATATCATTATTGTTATGAGATTAAAGCTCTCTTCCATCAAGTTGAAAGATAGCATGCTGACAAATTATTCAAATAAATGAGGTATGTAAAATTGCAAGATAGGAGTTTGTGGTTTCTGTTTTGTGTGGAACTAACAGCAGCCTGAAAAAAGTGTGCTGCCACAGCAGTCTACTTGTCAGGTGCTTGTTTCATTCTGTTTCATTCACTGCAGATACTTCTAGAGGAACCTTGATTTTAGCAATGGTGTTTTTTGGAACTTGTTTGATTGTGGATTTGTTCTTGTGGTAAGGTAAGATGAATTTGTGCTTCAAATGTGCAATTGAAAATTCTTCTAGCAAATTAGACCTATGCTACAGATATTTGTGGGAGGCAAATACCTCCTTTTTTCCTTTCTACCTTTTTCTTTCCCCTCCAGGTGGATGATGGGAGGCTGACAGCAGACCTGGCAATGGGCTGTGCTGTAACTAGCATAGCCCTGTGTAATCTTTTGCTCCCCAGAACCCACCAGGGTATTGATCAAGTTCTCAGTGGAACACTATGGATTCTGCAAGACCAAGAGATATCTGGAGTGCACAGGCATTGTAGCTCCGGAATAGAATCAAAGAATTTAAGTGTGTGAGGCAATTAATGGGACATAACACCCTGTATCCCAGTAAACTAATGTGAGCAAGCTTTGAAAAAACCTACAGTATTTTTCTGGATGTTTTCTGATCATCCACGTACCTGTGTCTGGGTGTGATCATGCATGGCTGTCAGGCATCCATTCCCACTGTCTTCCTTTAGTGCTGTTGATACATCCAGGCAGCCTGTGAGTCTCTGTTGGAAGTGGTTTCCTGATCCCAGCTCTATGACCACCTGAAGATTTTGTTCCTGCAAGTTAATTGTAAATACACTGAGTGGAACAGCAATGCAATTCCAGAGCAGCCAATTACATTCTTGTCTGTAACTACTTTGGTGCTGAGTCTGTCTTACATGCTTAGCTTATGGTTGGATTTCTTGACATGAATGGGTGTCACATGAATAAAGATTTAATTTCCTGGGTGTTGGATTGTGGTTGAATTCAGTTGTCGTACTCTGAGAGTCCTCTCCCCTTCTCTCTGGAGTTGAGAAGTCTATGAAAATGGGATTAGACAAGGCTGTCTGGCACAACTTTCTATTGGAATGGTATAAAACTTTGAATAAAGGCACTTGAATAAATTGCTGGAAGTGCCTGTTTAGAGCTTCTGGCACAGATTAATTCCTCTGGACAAACTCAAGGAGAAATTCTGTTTCTCTGCTGATAAATTGGTTTCAACGGTTTAGGGAAAAGGAAGCAGTGACAGTATAATTATAGATTAATTCAGGCTAGAAGTAGGATCAGGAGTCTGCTGCTCAAAGCAGGATCACTTTCGCCATTAATGTATTTATAGACTCCTTTTGCTTAACATCCTTTGCACCCATTTTCTTTCACCTTCTTTATCTTCATGCGCACGCATATTTGGCAGTGCCGGCCCCAGATGAGGGCCCCCCTTGCTAAATAAGATAAAGAACGAATGGTGACTGAATTACTCGCACAAAAACTTGTTGCAAAACTAATCTGCAACAAGTCAGTAATCTCACCTGCCTGCTTATGACTATATCTATATAAACTGCAAAATGTTTCTTTGGTCTGAAGAGTATGTTGAGATTAATTAAGTATTCAAATTTTCCAGTTTCCAGGAAGGATGAGACTAGAATGCACTTACACAGTTGGTCTTGTTATTGTTATCAACTTGTTTGGCAAATGTGGTGTAAAATCCAGGGAACAGTATCAAACGTATTAGGTAGATTGTCCTTAAGCTTTTTTTGGTGCAGAGAAAATGTCATCTTTGTCAGCACTTGGCAGTCTTCCATTTTAGCTCAAATACAATTTCAAGGGTAATGCTGGAGGTGTTTCAGGCTTTAAATGTCATTCCTGTTGCTTTTTTTGTTGTCTGTCTTCTCTACAGCACAATTTTGAGCTAACTGGGTATTTCAGCACATGACAGTGTAACTGTACGGATTCGTGTAGACTTTAAATCAGTTGGCAGATTCAGGAGGAGCAAAGTGTCTGAAGTTGCATGGAAGTCAATGTAGTATGCTTGTTTGCGTATTTGTGTAGTCTGTGATTCTTGACTGCTGTGGCCATTTGACTCATTTAATGAACTAGTCGATATAACCCAACTAACCCAACTGCTGTGTATATAGAAATGTAATTAATGGAAGGCTTATAAGACAGTATCTTTGCTGCGAGAAAATAACATGCTTTTTCATAGCTTCTATTTGCGTTGCTCAAGAGCATTTAACTTCTTACTTCTTACTTGACTTCTACAAATACCATTTGTGTCTTACAGCTTGCCTTGAAGGGATCTAATTATGCTGGTCTGCTGGAGCGGCATCGCATTCATACAAAAAATGTGGAGCATGTTGTGGACAGCTTACGGTAAGAATGTATGGATGTTGAGGATTTCAGACATACTGCAAATATCCATGGATTGTATGAAACAAAAGGAAGCCTCGTATTACAAATGCTAATAAATGGGAGTACTGAAAAGAAAGGGGTGCATATGAACAGTCATTCCTGAAACATGTTCTGTTATCATATTGAAAATAAACAAGAAAGTAGTACAAGATTTGTGTGTCAAATACTTTTAAGCCAAATATGACTGTAATTATTCCTTAGTTGCATGACAGCTTTTTGGAAGGCTGTGACAAGGAACAATACAGAATGGCATTCAGACTTCTTCTGAACTTTACAGGAACGAAAGGATAGAAGTTCGTCTTGTTAAGCGTCGAGAGTATAATGAAGAGACAGTTCGGTGGGCAGATGCTGTTATATCAGCAGGAGGTATGACTTTATGGAAGGAAAGTATTTGTTTCAGTATGTTTTAATGGGTCTGTTTCTCAGAAATACTTGGCAGTGTTTGAAGCAGCTGGAAATAATGCACATTCTGAAAACAAATTTCTAATGTAATTTTCAGAAAATCTGACAAAAAACAATGGTTATGACCATCTTGTCTACCTCTACTATGTAAAATAGTAGCCCATGGAAGTGAATCCCAATGCATGGCCACTCAAAAAGTTTTTCATGTGTGAAACAATATAAACTGTGGAGTTTACTCTAGTTTTCAACTAATGAGGATAAAAATCTTGATGTAATGTAATTTTATGTAGCCCTAAAACTTAGTCATTGTTTTTTTTGGGATGTGAGGTGTAGATTAACATACTACCTCATGGTCCCCTTGCTCAAACTGTCTTTCTTGCTTTCACACTTAATCCAGTGACTGGCGTATCAAGTTGGATGGTACAGGTAAAAAGTCTGCAGCTTCTGAGCATCTTGTGCCACTGATCAGTGTTTTCCAGATGAACCAACAGAGCAATTAACCTGATTGTTTATCTTTAATATTGGATTGCAGCAGTTCATTCAGTGTTACTTTTGGGATATGCTGCAAATACAGCATTGTGTGGCTGGGCTCTGACATAGTGTTCACTCATCTGTGGCAAATAGGCTTGACCACAGCTTTCTCTCTTCTTGCTAGTCCAGTTTGCCCTTAGGCAATCACCATGAAGATCACCATGATCACCATGAAGAATGGGTAGAAAGGTTTATTCCTGGAGCATCCTGTCATACTCTTGTGGATTTCAAAGAATTTCCCCAAAGTGCCAGTTTGTCTTTGGCAAAATTTGGGAAAATGGTTGAGGCAAGCAGCTGGGAAGTAATTCATCATCTGAGGTCTTCAGAGCTTTATGTTTTTGTGCTGTTCAGAGCTTATGTCTTCTTGCAAAGACTGAATGAGGCTACAGGGTTTTTTCTGTCTATCAGACAGGAAAAAATACCAATACCTGGGGAAACAAGTACATTTAAAGATTTCTACTTCTGAGCTTTCTACTTACCCAGAACTTCTTTTTCAAGTGTGCCTATTTGGGGCCAAATAAGACCTTTAAATTGCCTTTTAGGAGGACAACTGGGGTGAAGCTAAAGTCATTGTTTTTATGTGACTCACAGTAACATTTGGTTTTGTTTCATGTCTCTTGTGGCTTTGTTTAGCAATACTTTCTAAATTTACTTTTGCTAAAAAATTTCTCTTGCCTGCTGATAAATGTACAGAAATTCCCATAAATCTCTTTTAAAGCTTGCTTCTGCCACGTTCAATTGCCTGGGCATGTATAGCTGTCAGATAAGTTGTTCTTTTTCCACTTGTGTTTGCCATCTCAAATTCAGTTGTCACTACTCTTATTGGATAAGGTGTCAGTAGTTTTGTCCCACTGTATTTTTCTCCAGCTTGCCTTATTTGTTGTTGATACAAATGCACATAATACTAATGCTGGAGTACATTCTGTTTGGGGTACTAGAATGTGAAGTGAAACTAACTTTTGATCTGTTTCCTTTGTAGGTGATGGTACAATGTTGTTAGCAGCCAGTAAGGTCTTTGATAAATTTAAACCAGTCATCGGAATAAATACTGATCCTGAAAGGTAAAAATGTATTTGGTAAAGCAGTGCTCTATTTAATATTAGGCCCACTATCCATCTGTTTTCATGGTACATGAGGCATACCTGTAGCATTTGGCAGCATAAATGTCTGTTTTAGTGGGTTGTAATGTACGAAGGGGATCTCTTGTTCTTTTAGAGAAGTTTGCACAGGAGTTATCCTGTCTCATATGAGAGTAGTATTGGATGATCATGCCTTTGTTACAGTGGCACAGATGTTCTCACACACCAGTGTAGCAGCCCTTGTAGCTAGTTAACTTGTATTACTAACCAGAAGTTCGAGGCTAGAGATAACAGTACAGAACTTAGGAAGAAGGACTTGGTAAAAGCAGCTAAGTGTAGTGCCTGAACACACTAAACCTTAATTTTTTGTGAAGAAGGTGGATCCAGTAGAGCCTCAGATGAAGAAGTTTGCTGTTGTTTTTTAATGTAAACCATGAAATAACTCAGAAAACTCCTGAACCAATTGTTGGCACTTAGCTGTCCCAGTATAAATTCTGCACAAGCTGCACCCACCTGCCCACATCAATCGTACAGGTCAGTAGATGCAATGTGTTAGGATTGCTTGGTTGGTATTACCTTCAAATGGATGGCAAGTGACACACAGAATTCACCAAGGCTCTGCTTGCTGAGAAGTCCAGATTTAGATTTCTGCTTGTGATATTTCTGCTTTTTTCATATTGACGGTTAATTTATTCTTAGTACATAAAGTAGTGGTCAAGAAGTTTAATTCCTTTCATATCTTCTCTTCTAAAACTTTTCAGATGATCTGAGTAGCTATTCTACATTGTCAAGCCTGGCTAGTAGGGTTCGAATAACAAGTGCCTTTGAATTCTCACATATTACTCATGAAAGGGAGCAGTGTTTAGTCTTCAAGTTCTGAGAAGAGATTCTTTTGATCTTAGGCATGTTGCTTAGCTGTTGCTAACTTGTGTGTAAGTGGAGAAAGTTTTTTCCCCTCACCTGCCAGGTTTATGAAGCTTAAATTGCTTGCCTAGAATGGTGACAGGAGCTATATTAGTGGTTACACACTCCTGCAGGATTATTAGCTGAACAGACAGTTTTTAGGGAAAATGTGGGAGAAATAGCCTGTCTCAGACAAACAGACTCCAGGAGTTGAGAGCAGTGTGTTGTTACTGATGTGGTACTGTGGAAGAATAGTAGAGATTCCTAAAGGTCTAAGAAGTGTAGCTTTGCTAGGTGTAACACATAGGGAGATTTGTTTTGTTTTGTTTTCCAAAGGTACCAAATCTGAACAGTAATACTGTAATTTTCATTGTCATTTTTTTGCTACCAGATCAGAAGGTCACCTGTGCTTGCCTGTGAGGTACACACACTCATTTCCTGAGGCACTACAGAAGCTTTATCGTGGTGAGTTCAGGTAGGATTCACTGATCTTTGGTTTTCAAAAACATAGAGGGATTGGGAAACCCCTAATCATGTGCAATTCCTAAGAAGCAGCTGAAGCCTAGTAAAATGTTAATGGCTCAAATTTTGAATTCTGTGTAGATGTTTATAATGCTGAAAAATGAATTTTTGGGTGAAAAATGAGACAGGAATGTAAATGACAAAAGTGACTGCCAGTTCCAGAAGAAAACTTGTGGGATGACCTGCACTAATTGATTTTCCCTTCTGACTTAGTAAATTCATAAATGAGGAGCTGAATTCTTATAAGGGGTATATTGGTTTGTGTATTTTAGGACTGTCCTTGTTTAGAGCAAATTTTGGAGGAAACTTTTGAAGTGAAAACACTCTAGAAAGCAAACTCAAGCTGCCCCTCCCCCAGCTGGTTCAGGAGGAAAATTCTCTTTCAAGAAAAGTGGAAAAAACTGTTTATTTAACAAGCAAAGTACTCAGAAACATGAAAAAATGAACACTGTTAAACAATGGAACCTCTCACTGCTCTGAAGAGATGGCAGATTCAGAGGGAGTCCTGTCATGGGCTGTAGCTGGGCTGGCTCAGTCTCTCACCCGTCCCTCCTGGGCTGGAATGCCGTGTCCCGGCCCTGGTGGGCCACAGGCTGAGCTCCCGGTGCTCTTCTGGGTTTTCAGTCCAGAGCAGGGCTGAGCAGTTCCAAGAAGAAGGAGAGTCACAGTCTGGGGAACTTCTCTGCCCCAGCCAGCTAAAAATGAACTAAAAGCAAAGGAGAGCTCTGTCCCACTGTCTGTCTGTGCTGCAGACACTGCAGTCTGTGAGCAGGAATGCAGGGAAGCGAGTGCAGTCTGTGCAGACAAACTGGACACTTCTTATCTCCCCTTCACTCCTGGAACCTGTCTTAGAGGTGCAGAACTTAATATCCACCGTAAACAGAACAGACAACTGGGGATAACGTCACCCTAGGACAAGGACTCAACACTGTTTTACAGTGATGGCCATAAGAATAGAAGCTAATGAAACATGTACAGTTAGGAAATGGTCAGTGTGTTGCATCTGGGGTTTTGGTGGTTGAGATAAAGTGGCTTAAATTTTGCTGACTAATTAGTGTAGGGCCAACATTTCTTCATGCTGAATATAACTTGATGTTTTCAGTACTAGATATTCTTAAAACAGAATAATCTCACTTGATTTTAAAAGGAACAAACTGAATTTTAAAGGACAGACTATGGAAGAGTTTTTAATAACTACTTAACTACACTGTTCTGTAATATAATAAATTTACAGAATATTTTTGTGATAAACTATCAAACAGAAACCAGTCACTCATGAAAAGATATAGCAATTGAGTTTTGTTTATACTTCTAGCATATTAAATTTTTAACTTGGAAGTGTAACTGTATTTGTGCCATAGAATAGTTCTGAAATTAAATTAATACAGTTGCCAGGATCATAACTGTAGGAGTCTCAATATTTATTGCTAAAGGAATAGGTATTTTCTATTCACATATTCTAAGATTTAGAAAACAGAAGCTTTTTAGTCTCCATCATTCTTGCTAAAGTAAAACTCATCATGCTTATTCAGATAACCTCCCTTGACATTTGGTGAGTTTGATGTTTAGTTGGAAACAAAGCTATATGTTTGTTCCTGCCCATTATGGAGCTGAAACCTCACCAGAGCGAAACAGAAAGGATTTCTTTAATTATTTTTCTGAAATAACAGGATCTTTATTCTTAAGCAAGGACATGATCAGATGATTCATTTGAAAGTTCTTAGATTTGTTTGGCCCTAAGCAAACCTACTGAGTCTTTGGGTAACTGCATCCTTGTCTGGAAGGACATCTGGTATTTTGGAGTTCTAGTGGATTGTACATTGCCAGAAACTGGACAAGGGCAATAAGCTTTTCCCCCTTATTCCTGACTTATCAGTTAGTGCAACAATCTGTATTAACATGGACCTTGTAATCCATGAGACAACCAGCATTATTGATTTATAAAGGACAAACTATATCAGACTAGGTGCGTTTTTTTATCTTAGTGGTCAGTACTGTAGCAGGTTCTCAGAATAGGGGTATTAATAGGGGTACAGTCACATTTTCTTAATTTTGTGGGGGATGTGACATGTTCTAGCCATGAGCATTGTAAGGAGGCTAGTATAGTGATACTCACTGCATGCTTTCTGCATGACTACCTAAAATCATACTTGGAATTTACAGCAGATAGGATGTGTAAATAAGTCTCCATAAAGATGACTAGAGGAAAAACTAGCAAAGTAGTCATATAAAGCATAAGTCTCTTGTAATTTTAGGAAAAATTGGTTACTGTTACTGGGGTCTCAACAGTATGAACAGGGAAAAGATGTGCTCGTAAGACTGTCTTGTGATTTGCTTTCTTAGTCAAAACTATTGCTATTTTGTTTTATGAAATATCTTAGGTTGTAAGAGGAAAACAAATTTATATCTCTAGGAAAAATTTAAAAATCAAAATGTTGTAACATGGCTTTTATAGCCTTCTCTTGTTTTAGAAGAATTCCTCTTAAGCACCCCAAATTCCTAGGCCAGGAGAGGTTAAAATGAGAGGATACTTGGGGCCTTACGTATAAAGGGATGCATAGAGCTGCTTTTCTTGACATATCAAATACAAACAAAAGATGTCAAAAATACAGCATGTGTTTCTGTAGAAATTCTTGAGACTTCTTTATTCTTAAAAGCATTGTATCAGTCATTCATTCACATATTAAAATTACATGCCTCAAAAGGAGTTTATTACATACAATCTTTGTTGGCTACTTTTGACCAGTGTCTTCTTATTTTACAAATGCAAAAAATAATAGGTGGCAAGTAGATAAATATAATGATCTATGATTAAGTATTACTATCTTCTTAAATTTAGCAGTTATAGTGGAAGCTATAAAACTTGAATATATTTAGTTCCTAATCTTAAGATGTTCTGCTTTGAGAGTGGAGGCTGTCAGATCCTATCTAAAATTTTGTAATGAATATTTCATACTGACTTTTTTTGCCTCTCTTAGGTGGCAGTGGCGGCAGAGAATCCGACTGTATCTTGAAGGAACTGGGATTAACACAACCCCAGTGGATTTACATGAACAGCAGCTAAGCCAAGAGCAGCACAGCCGGGCTCACATAAATGAAAGATTCCAGGATCAAAGTAGGTTAAAATCTGACAATAATATAATCACTTTGCTATGATAACTTGGAATAGAAGATAAAAATATGTAAAAGTTTTAGTGTTTGAAATACCTGCTATAAAATACTGTATCTTCTTTAAAATGCTGTCTCTTAGAGTTACTGTGACTACTTGAGCATGTGTTTGTGTACACATGCTAACTTTTAAATTAGGTTAATTGAGAGTTGTAAAAGCTAGTCTTGGACTACCAGCAAGAAAATAAGGTATTAGATGTGAAAGTCTGTCTGTAGATAATTCTTAAAACACCTTCAAGTCTTTTCTTTATGATGGGTTGAAAGATGCATGGTTCTGTGCCTAAATTGTGACCAGTACTGCATTTGCTCACTAAGAAGTCCTTATCAACATGAACAATTTGTTAATCCCCTTTAATTATCTTGTGGTATGAAGTCTGATTCTCTGAACTTCATCAGAAATGTCTGTTTAGTCACTGCCAGTGAATTTAACTTGGCTGGAAGAGTGACTGACAGAAGATTTTATTCTGCCTAGTTGCCTGTAACTTTTCAGGGAAAAGTGTCTGAACATAAGCGTCATTGCTGACCTTGGTTTAAACATTCATTGTCTCCAGTGAAGGACAGTGACTAGCCACAGAGTAAATCAGTGAAAAAATGAGTCTGAAGAACATGGAGCATTCAGTCTAGAAAACAAGCCCAGGCAGTAGAATCTGTCTTCAGTGAATTGTGAATGGTTTTTGAAAACTTGTGTTTTAAATCCATGACTCAAAACTTATATTTGATATCTGCAGGGTCTGATATTTCTGGCCCACATCTTTTACCAGTGAGAGCACTCAATGAAGTCTTCATTGGGGAATCTCTTTCATCCAGGTATGTTTAATTGTTTATTGTTACAGCAAGGCACAATTGACTTAATTTCATTTTATGCCATTGGAGTGGACAATCAGTGATGAGATTTTACTGTCAAATTTCACTTCTGTTCTAAAAATATTTAACACTTATTGTATTATTGCTGATTACAAAGTGTATTTTCAGAGATGTAAGGGCAGTAATGTTAATTTCTGGTTTTCTGCCTTCTTTGTGGTTATTCTTTCATTTTTCCTGACTTTTTTCTTTCCCTTTTACTGATGACTTAAATATCAGTTCTTGAACTGCCTCTTCTCCTGCATATCTTTTTAAATATTTTTTAATAAGCTTTTAGCATGACCAAGCAGAATTAGCTTCTATCATAACTCCCTTTTCTGTCTTTCTGTCATTAGATGTAAAAAAGGTATCAGCCTGCTTTTGGCAGAAGCCTTGTTATTGACAGAATATAGTTATTTCCTTTGTTTAAGAACTGTGTTTGTATCAAACAATGGTACTGCCTTATGCAGGATACTGTCCTTTCTGTCGTGAGGGTCAATGCATTTTTGGTAGCCAAACAGTAAGAAGGACACGGGAAATATGACTGGGGCTGTGGTAAAAGACATGACCCTTAGTTAGGATTTCATTAAACTTTTACATGTATTTTATCTGTTTCACTTCATTGTTTATCTTACTAAAATAACCCAAACAAAAATAACAGGAAAGCCACTTTAGAGGTTAACAGCTTGTGTTTGTACAATGCCTGAGACACTGATTGTTGGTGCAGATAGTATAAATATTCTGTGAGGGCTTTATTTTTTGTCTGGACTTCAGTCTGAGACTGGCAGAAGTAATTAATCTCAAAGAGATACAAATCCTGCTTTCTACTAAATCAAACCTAATTATATTAAGATTCTAAAAAGTTTCTTTAATGTGCAGTGATAGAGGAGCACAAAGCTGTTTTCTAATGCTATGCACGTCAAAAGTACATTCTCTTGGTTCCAGTGGATTTGAGAATCACTGAGGAACACAGTCCCTCTAGATACCAACCTCTACAAATGCGTATGGTGTTATTGGGACTTTAGACTTGAAGACTTGATTGTCATAAAGACAAATCTTCTGTTAGTTTCAAATACACAAGTCTGCTATTTATTTAGACAAAATAACTTTAGGAGCTTCTTTTCACATCTTATTCTGCATGTCAGTGATGTAAAAATGAGTAAATTGAAGAAAAAAACCCCAGAAAACCTATTATACCCAGCTTGCAAAAATTACATTAAACTGAATCAAGCAGTGCACCTGTGTTCTTAATTTACTTTCAGTTCTCTAATCTCCTCATCTTCTCAAAATGTGCCATTAGTTACTGAGAGCTGTGTTTCTAGACTGAAATAATAGCTTAGTAAATTCTGTTTACTAAGAAAAGTGAAACTCAGTCATGCATAAAACAGCAAATGTGGTATTTCTGAGAGGATATCTATTAATCTGAAGCCTGTATCACAGTTTGAATTAGGCCCTATGAATATCAGCAAGTTTAGTTCATAAATATACTCTTGGATATTCTGAAGCTTGTAGACAGAAACTTTGGTCTCTAGGCCTAACCCTAGGAATCTCCTGACAGATGAACTGCAACATGCAGAAGATGATTGTACATCAAGACCTAGTACTTTTGAGTTTTAGGAATAATTTGCGCTGGAATAAAATGTAAGCCTGTTCTTGTGTAAAGCTATTAATGAAGAATCACTGGATTTTCAGTTACTGAAGTGATCAAGAGTTCAGGTTCAATGATGCTATTACTTACTGATGTTGAAATAGTTAGTGTTACTTGACATAATTTAATGAGACACAATCATAGCATAAACACAAATTTTGTGCAACAGTTATGCAAAGAAGGTAATTGTTTATAGTTTTATTTGTAATGCCAGCAAGCCCTGCATATGAACCACAGAAGTTGTTTTGTACATAAATTTAACATGAGAAGTGACTGCAGAAAGTGTGCTTAAAGTTCATGCTACAAATAATTCTAGTCTATTATAAAAACTGCTATAAAATATTGAATCAGAAGTAGCTGTCAAATGGGAAACATTGTACAAAGCCTGTGAAATTGTGATCCAGATTTGAAAGTAGCTCCTCTAAACTGTTATGTGCCTGATAAGGCTATGTGTTCTGTCTTATTCAGGGAGAACTTTAAGTCCTGCAAACCCAGTTTTAAATTCTCGCTTCATAGGGCCTCCTATTATGAAATATCAGTTGATGATGGTCCTTGGGAGAAACAGAAGAGTTCAGGGCTTAATGTGTGTACTGGAACAGGATCAAAAGCATGGTGAGTACATGTTGCTTCTTTGACAGAAAATACAATTTCAGATAAGATTAGATGAACCTATTTGGCCTATGCATTTTCTCCTTGAGAAAATGAGACTGAGGCTCTATTGGGCTATGGGTAGGTCAGTCTAATACGGTCACTGTCAGTATGGCTTAGAGCTGTTCCAGGTGTATGAGATGAGCAAGGCACTCGTTACTTGTGGGTATGGAGGGAAGCCTTAGAAGGATGAGGAGCTGTGGCACTGAGACAGAAGTTTGCTTAGATGTAATTTTGGTGAAAGATGTGGCTTGCCACAGGTCAAGATGAGTGGTTAGGAGTGGTGAGGGAAACAGATTCTCCTGTGACTTGCAGAGAGCATACTGAGGTGATCTATGAATTACTCTTATTGCCTAAAATTAAAATGCTTAGGTGATGTAGCCCAGTAAACTTAAAAAAATCTAAGCTCTAAGAAGAATGGGAAAACATGTATTTAGCAGTGTTAAGTGTTCTCTGGCACATCTACTGTCCATCCTTCTTTCAAGCCTCTTGTTTCTTTCATATTTAATTGACGGGGACAATCTGTTTGCCAAAATATTCCCCTTAAAAAAAGATGGCCATACCTACATAGAACTGTGCTGGCTTAATCAGAGGGATAAATTATTTAAACTTCAGTTTAAATGTGCTGTGGTACTGCATGTAAGTCTAATAAATTTAGTTTTGAGATGTGAGAGATGTGTTTGTGCTCGTAATTTGGAGTTGTATAATAGGCATTGGATTTATGGGATAGCTAAGATCAACTAAAACAGAGGCTTTTAATGAAATTCAAAAATAAGTATTCATGCTGTAACCATGGTTACTGGGTTTTACGCTTCATTGTAATTCAGAATTTTGTATTGAGGCAGCACAGCTTAGTTCTGGAGGCTGCCAAGGATGAAATTGGCAGACTGCTAGGGAACTTTCCTAGTGTTCAGTACCTTGGGAAAGTACAGTCTTAATTCAATGCTGTTCTTATGCATTTCTTTTGCTTGCACACTCTGGGCTGAGAAAACCCAGAACCAGGGACCAAGTTCCAGGATTACCCCTCTCTGTTGTGGTAATCAGTATGTGTTTCTGGACTTCTCTAAGGTGAGACCAAGCCTCAGTGGAGTGATCCCCCTTAGCCTGTTCTCTAGCGCCTTTCCTGGAATTTCAGACTTCCTGTGACTGAGAGACATTTAAATATCCAGGTGTTTTCTGTAGCTGCCAAAACTTGTTTAAAAGGATATCTTGATAGCATCTGCTCAGGCTTGCAGGTAGGCAGTAAGTAAGAGAGAGAGAGCCTTGGGCACACCCTCAGCAGCTCTGGGGTCAGATAGGGGCATAGTGGATCTGTGCTGCAGTCTGAGGTGTTTTACTGCCATGACAGAAGTGCTGGACTGAGGATTTTAAGCTGTATTGAGACCTGGGCATGTGAAATCTTCACGGTACTGCTGCACGGTGGCTATGGTTAGCGCCTACTCTCTTTGGAGTCTGGGTGGAGGAGGGAGACTTTTTTGGGGGTTTTGCCTTAGTTCAGACTGAGGCTATGTTGACTTGTTCATCCAAATGCGTCAAATGCAGAAGTGTCTGATCTGACTTTATTTTCTGTATACACCAGTTCTTGTGAAATTCCAGACCACACCTTAGGGTATAAATAAAGAAGTAAAATATTTGTAAAGAAGTGTTGGGTTCATAAATGAGAACGAAGAGACTAAATCAACTAACAAGGGTTGGATAGACAGGGTAAGAACACAATCTCTAGGGCTTCAGTTTTTTAATGCAGACTTAATGCAGCAGTTATTGGGGTTTTAAGGCAGGGGGATTATTGACAAGGAGACTACATCCCAAGTTTTTCTTTCCTGAAGACTTCACTTAATGAATTTTGAAGGTTTACAAGGTAGATGCCAAATCAAGAGTTGATTTAAGACTTTTTTTAAAAAAATTAACTATTATCAACTCACACTTAGTATCATTCTTTTTTCTTCTCAAATGTTGAATTTAGTTTTTCATCAGTGTGAAAGGTTTTTTGGTTTTGCTTGTTTTTTTTCCTAAGTTGTACTGCTTAGCAAACAAGACTTCTTCTCTGTTTAGGTCGTATAATATTAACAAGGTTGCACATCAAGCTATTGAAGAGATACTTAAGATCGGTGAGTGGACAATGCAGCATTACTAGCCAAGTTCTATACAGATACATATGTCTAACTGGGGCTCTTTCTCTCTGGTCAACAGCAAAAAAGCATGGAAGTTTGAATATGCCATTGAATATGGAACTGGTACAGAAAGGTTAGTGAAAAAGGCAAGATTTGTTTTAAAGTATCTTTGGCCAGTTCCTTTTGTTTGTAATTCTGTACTACTCGCCTTTCAGTGTTTTAGCATTCTTGCAGTAGTAATCTTTCTTACAGACATTAATTAGGCACAGTTGGCAAACAATGTCTTATTTGAAATGAAAGCACTTGTTTAGATTTATATCTAAATTATCCTCTTCACGAAAATTTCAGTTCTCCTTAAATTTGAAACAGTTAATATTTAATCACCAGGAGAGAGCTACTGAGTGTTCATCATGCAGTAGAACTGAAAGGAATCTTCCCTAAAAATAATTTTTTTTTGCATATAAAGACGGTTAAACATCTGTCAAGACTTGATGATCCTTGGAGGAATGTGTGTTTCTGAGAGTAACTCATATTCTCTGGAAAAACTAATGGCTGACTCCTCTGCTTACAGTAACAAATGATTACAATGAGTCACTGCTCTACAGTCCAGAGGAACCAAAGATGTTTTTCAGTGTTCGAGAGCCTATTGTAAACAGAGTTTTCTCAAGTAGCCGTCAGCGTGGCTTCTCGTCAAAGTAAGTGTTGGCTGCAGTAGTGGACTTACTTTGTTCATTGTATCTGTCAAAGTATCAGCAATCCAGGATTTTCCCTTGAAGTGTTTCAACATCCAGTTTGTGCTTTGAATGACTTGAGTATTGTTCTTGTAACAGCAGTATGAAAATGTTTCCTAGTTGTGTTACGGCTTTTTAATGTTTGATTCCTGCACAATCTGACAGAATAAAAGAATCTCACTGTGCCCAGCTTTGGATATGTGCCATTTTCCTTAGTATGAGACACAGTGACAGACTGAAGTGAATTCAGGAAAGGGCCACTGGGAGGATAAGGGGGCTGGAACAAGTGATTTATAAAGGAAAGGCTGAACAGTACTTTCCTTTAACCTGGAGGAGACAAGACCAAGGGGGAATCTGGTTGCTGTCTTCAGCTACCAAAGGATGGTTACAGAGGAGGCTTGAGCTAAACTCTTTTCAGAGCAGAGTATAATACAACAGTCATGATTTTATAGTGTGTAAGTTTCTGATTTAAAAAAAAAAAAATCAGTGAGAGTAGTCAGGCAGTTGACCAGATTGTCTCTGTAGATTGTCTTATCACTGTTCTTGGAGATACTCAAAACTTGCCTGGGAAAGGCCTTAAGCAACCTAACCCATCTTTAAAGTAAGGCCTGCTTTGAGCAGAAGGTGGCACTAAATGGATTTACAACCTGAATTATTTGCTAATTCATCATTTTAACTTAGGGCAATTATGCCACTGGGGGTTTAGATTAAATATTAGGAAAATTATCATCATAGAAAGGATTTTAAAGCAGTGGAATGCGCTGCCCGTGGAAGTGGTGGAATCATCATCCCCGAAGGTTTTAAAAGACATTTAGGCATGGCACTTAGGGACATAGTGGTGGGCTTTGCAGTGATTGTTTAATGGTTGAGCTCAATGATCTTACTTGTCTTTTCCAATCTAAATGATTTTATGATATGTGGAACTTGCCACTATTAAATATAAACACATAGAGCCATTAGTTTAATGATCAGAATAACTGAACATACAAACAATAACATATAAACTGCTGAAAGCAATACAGTATTTCAGTTGTAATTAACTCTCAATTCAACCTTTTATATCAAAACAAATGTCTAAAGGAGCTCTGAGCCAAATTCTTTATTCTGTCTTGTCCAGTTCTAAAAGAGATGCATTAAATTTTCTAAGATTAGATTTAAACTTATTAACTTAAATATGTCAGACTGTAATAATAATGTCTTGACATTGTAATATGCTGCAGTTCTCGAAGTTGTCTAGCAAGCATCCTGACCTTCAGCTTTGTGTTTGTAATTAGTTTTCTGCTCTCTGAATGTAACAAAAGATTAATAATGAATTATTTGAACCTCAACATTGCTACTTGAAAATATGTATTTCATATAACACGAAGACCAGATATTAGAATCTTAAATTAATTGTGAAGTTTTCTGTGAAGTTTAAGTAAATGGGATCATCAGTAGCTTTCTTTGAAAATTACAGCTAAACTTTAGCTTTCAACACCAAGTGTTACATTACAAGCTGTGCTCAGACTTTGGGAACATTGACTGAGTCCTTCAGTCCTCTTTGGACTCTTTGCCAAGTCCATACAAAGCACTGATAACTTGGTGGGGTTCTAGTGCTTAATACCATGCTAAGTGGAGGTTAAGTATTTACTGACCCAAGCAAAAGAGTGTCCCAGAACCAGTTAAGTGCTTCTGTGAAATACTTAAATTTTTAAGCTGTTTTGTGATAATGTCCTTGTTGGTTTTTGCAGAGTCTGTGTCCGTTCCCGTTGTTGGGATGCTTGTATGGTTGTAGATGGAGGAACATCTTTTGAGTTCAATGATGGGGCAATAGCTTCAATATTGATTGACACAGAGGATTCACTGTGCACTGTTCTTCTGGAAGAATGAAGGACCTTGATGACTTTTGCTGAAACATTTATGAATCCATAGAGGGAAACCATGGGGATATCACAATGCTGCATTATATTGGAAGTTGGCCTTTTTGGATGCAAGAGCATTTGGAGGAAGCTTGAAATGCTTTTCATTCCTTTGGGTTGGGGAATCATTAGCCTGATATTTGAGCTTTTTTTGCTTCTAGTGTAAATGTCTGAAATGTTACCTCTAACTTAAATGAAAATTGACATTTTAACCTGTAAGGCAAACATGAAAGCTTTGTAAACACAGGTAAATGGGTTCAAGTATTAAGTGAGTAGCATTACATATTCAGATGTACAGTTTTTTAGTAACAGTCTGGGACTGGTAAAACTAAGTACTTCATACATACACTTTTGTAGAAAAGTTGACTGTCAAATTAGCAATTTGATGCAAGGATATATAGATTTTGGTAAACCATGATGTTGATGTAAAAGAAATGAAAATACAAATCTTTTGTATACTTTTAAAAAATTGTACAACTTTGTAGTTTCATACAACTTGTGGCAATTTTTTTTTGTTCTTCTATTATTTTTTCTACTTTGTAAACTTACATCAAGAGTGTTAAGTCTGGTTTAATACATCTTGAATGAGGTAGCTTTTAGTTTTTCTGTTTGACCTAGATAGGGACTTGAAACCCAAAGGTTTTCTTGAGCCCTTCATCAAGAACATACCAATTGTAGAAATCATGTTTTAATAGGATATATTCCTTCACTGAATGGATTAACTTGCAATCAGATGATCAGAGCAGTAGTGTATGTTAAGTGGTTATCATTAAGACATATATTTCACCTTATTAAGTTGAATGTTTGGAATTTCAGGTTTTGAATTTCTTATATTTAAAGAAGAATGAGATATGCTGAGCAGTAGGAGTTGGAGCACAAGCTAATACCTATGTCTTCCAGTTTTCCCAGCACGTTTTTACCTTCTCCAGAAAATTTAAATTTACAATCCTATGCTGAATGCTAGTGATATGTAAATGACAAGAAATTAATATCACATGTCTCTGCTCATGTTAGGTAATCAAGTTGATAATAGAAAGAAAAAAAAAAGCTCTTATTAAAGGAGAGCAAGTGACCTTTTGAATCTTTTAGAGAAACTGTGAACTATGACTGCCTTTCGAAATCCATGCTTATAACTGCATAGGTGAGGCAGAATTTGGGAAAACAAATATTCCTACAGCAGGAACTCTTCTTTTGTTTACTATAGATTGGTTTCCGAGAGTGAGTTTTCTAACGACTTTTGAATGAAGAGACTTCTGTAACAGATGTTCTCAGGTCTAATGGAAGTGTTTTCTAGTGTGGCTAATCAATCAGGGTATTTATTGCCACTTGCAAAATGTAAATTGCTCTTTATTGGCGGAGGAAATGGAGAAAGGGTTTTTTCCTTCTAGACTTAGAGTGAATACAGCTTAAAACATAATCCAGAGGATATTGATTTGACCAGACCATTCAGTTCTAGGAAAATGTGAAATTAATGGAGATGTCTGAATAAGTTATCACTGTGTACATTTCACCTTCTAAGTGTGCTGCAGAGTTATTTACACTGTCTGGTTGTTGTGACTGTAGACCCAGGGGGGAAAAGCAAAGTAGCCAAATAAGCTTTCAAAAGGTGGTAAGTTCAGGAACTATTGGAATAACTTACTGTCTAAAATAATGTGCAAAGCTTGTCTAAAGCTAAAGACACAAAAGACTAATCTTTCTAAAAGTTGTGTGCACACAGACTATGATGTTTGATTATTTTCAATCCATCTGTAACCAGTTAGGGATTGTTTATTAATGTGCCTCTGTCCATGTACACTAATTAGTATGCTGTGAGGATTCAAAAAATCCCCAAGCTCACCAATGCCGTTAACACTAATTAATTCCTTCTTAGGACTCTTACCACTCTTAGACTAGATTTAGGTATTGAACATGTGCACAGCAAATCTATGGCAGAAATCCCAACAACTGCCTATTTAGACATTTGTGTTCTGCAAAGGTTTAATGGAGACTGGTTAGTCAGATCAGTAAGTACACCTCTTAAACATGCTTGTCATTCCTTATTATGAACGTCAAGACTTAATGTTTTCAGGCCCTACAGCCCCAAAGTATAATCTAGATTAGACTTTAGTAAATTTTCAAATTCCTAACTTTGCAAAATGGAAGCCTGACCTACTTGTGAGTGGCCTCTACTGGTTTTGTCTGTATTTAATTGAAGTTCTGTTGAAGCATTTACTGGTGAATGCTTAAAATTGACTAGGATGATTCAGAAATCTGTAATTGATAGTAAGCAGCTACTTTTTTTTTTTTTAATTAAACAATTGTAGGACCCTTTTTAAGGATCCTTTATGACAAAGGATTGCAGTACAGACAACTTACTTGGTAGACAACAGGACTGAATCTTGGTTTAGCACTGATTTAATCTGCATGGACTAGCAGTGATTTTTGCACCCCTTCCACCTGCTGAGTCAAGTCCATGGTATTTTCATTTAATGCTAGTCTACACTGTGTTCTGCTAAACTAGACCTGTTATTCTTCACTTCTTTTTTCCAAGTGGTGTTTATACATTATGTAATAAAAATTAAAAGGTTAATTGATAAATGAAGCTGTCCTGTGCCTGATTTCAACCTTCAAAAGTGTTTTAAAGCATAGTCTAATGAATGCTGAAAGTATTTTTGGTAACACTCTGTCCTTTAAAGCACCACTGCTTGGAGAAATTTTGTTTTGACCCATGACACAAAGTTACTGACAAACCAGGGAAAGCACTCTCCTATTCATCAGTCATTCTGTACAATGCAGCAGTTTCTTAGATCTTTATTAAATGCAAGAGAAGTTGCATGGAGTTGACATTGTGCATAAGGAGAAGAATGTACAGCTGTGCTGCAGAGATTTATTTCTTCTTCTTGAAGCAGTTTAAGGTAAATTTCTAAGGCAGCAAACTGAGGCAGTATAACATTCTGTATCCAACTTTCACAAGGTGTGTTGCCCATTAGCTCCTTTGTAAAGGATACAAACCCATTATTAACATCTGTTACTTACACGGTAAAATTTAATAAAAAACAAATCAACTTACATGAAAAAGATAATGCTTTATTTACTATATTCTAGAAAGTCAAGTTAAACATCAAATTCTAGTGCTCATACAATCTTTCCACAGCAAGTAATCTGTCCTGCACTGCCAGGTATTCATTCCTGAATGCTTTTTCTCAAGACTGCAATGGGAAAAGCTGTATATATGCAAAGGCCTACAGTGGTATGTTGGCTATTCTTAAAAACATCCATTAATAAATTCAGCTGCTCACTGCATTCATGGGAAAACAGCAGCATTTTTACATCCTAGAGAGGGTCCAAGTTTTGCCCTAGGAATTATCAGCTAAAACACCTGCTGGAACATTCTAGGCTTATGCATAAGGAAGGACCCTGGTAACATGAAAATGAAAGGTTCATTTAAAGTCATTACCTGTCCCTATCCTTTTATTTGTTTTTCTTTTTGGACAGTTATTCAGCTTCTCCTGTGACTTTAAAAAAAAAAAAAATCAACACTAGACGATAGTGGTTAGTGATACAAATACAAGAAGTGAAGTGCTACTACAAACAAACTAATATAAAAAAGAAATTTATGTCTTTTGATAGCACCAAAGCATCTCTCCCTTTTAGCATTCTTACACAGTAGTCCCAGGTTCTGGTTTTTGGTCATATCTAGAACTCCTTGAGCCCTCCTCCTGCAAAACTTATACCAATTTATCAGTTGCAGTTGAAAGATCTCAGAGAAAGTTTTATCTATGATCAGACTCACAGAATCTACATAAAGTTTCTGTAATATGTATTCAGAAAACCTAGGACCACAAAATGAAATCATGGACAACCAGCATCTATTTTTACAGATGCTAATTCTGAACAGGCTTTTCAGACCTGAATTTGGCCAAAAATGAAGGCTACTAAAGACAAACATTTCCTGTGTGGCCTCCTAAATAAAAACTTCACTATAACTCCTTTATGCTGCTTAACTTGCAAAGTATTGAGCTGTTCCTATGTAGTATATCCCCAATTTACTGTTTTCAAGCTTGGTTCATTCATCCTGCAGTATCTTTTCTTCAGTTACATAGTTGACAAGATTTAATATAGATGTATTCATTTTGAATGCTGCAAACTCCTTAATAAACCTTACAAACTTATCTGGCACCTCTGCAAGCTGTTCAGAAGCTGCAGACAGTTGCTAGAAGCTAACATTACTTATCAATGTAAGTAACTCATCTGTACTTATCAAATCACTTGACGGTGATTTGTTTCAGAATATTTTTTTTCAAAGATCCCCTGTAAAAAAGAAAGGCTGAAAGAAATATTCTGTAATTGCTCACAAGTCATCAAACTTCCAAAGGCTTTAAGTACAAAAAACTGATACAAAATATTATGAAACAACATTAGCATGTAAGACCAAGTTAAATAGTAACAGTACTATGATAAAAGGTGCTCCAGGACTTTTTTTTTCTAAGGAGCTTCAACGCACAGTATGTCCATGGCATGAAGTACCTTTTACAAGATCACAAGAAACTAGGATTTCTCAGTGTCAATCTGCATTTGATGCCCCAAATCTCATGGCTCTTCTTATTGCCAACAGTTGGCCTTGCAATGCTGGTAAAGTGTGAACCATTGATCTTCATATCGGGTAGTGCTTCCTCGAGGAGCTGCAGGGAGCTATCAGTCACTATTCCAAATACCTGAAGAGTCTTCAGTGTTCGAATTTCACCAAGCTCTCTAGAAACACAGAGATAGGAAATTAACCATGAAACTGAAAACATTTTTGGGGGTTTTTCAGCGTGCACCCAAGCTACATAACTCCATTTTTACTAAATTTTTAGAATTTTACTTAAGCATATATTTAATAGAAGTATTCAGCATTGATACTTCAGGAAACTGGCTGAGTAAATTACTTTTTTGTTAGTCTCTCTCACAGGCTGAAAACAAACTGATCTTTCCCTTTTCATATCCTTGGACTTAAAAATCTAGAACAAGTGAAGTAAACTGCCCAGATGAAGTTCCAGGATACAAGGATCCTGAAGTTCCAGGCTCAGAGGATACAAGCCTCTGAGTACCATCAATCAATTTCTAGGTTGTAAGAATATTTTGGTGAATAGCCAGACCCAGCTTCTTGATTGCTTTACATTTTCCCAGTCATCATCTGAACTTTGTATCTTACAAGCAAGTACTGGACAAAATCAAAAGGCTGAAGCACGTGCTGCCACAGCAAAGGTTCTTCTTATTTTCAATAGCCTTGTTCCTCTCAAACTCTTTTCTTGTTGGCAATTTCCTTTGTGTTGACATCTTTCCGAAAGTATTTGGATTGAAATCTTCTACAGTAATAAAAGGCAGAGGGACCTCATGAAAAAGTCACTCCATGCCAAGTTTGAATCGCAATAACTGTTAGAGATGCACACAAAAGCAAAAATACACAGTTTACTAGTCCAGCCAGTACTGTCAACTCTGCCAGATATTCCAAACCTTCCTGCACACTCAGAGGTCTGGTACTGACATCAATACTGGTCACTGGTTTCCATGCCAGCAGTGTACCACTGGTATAATGCCACTAATAGAAGACACGAGGCATGCATGGAGCAGTCAGTTGCATGAGTACAGACTGACATCACTGAAAGATTATCTCAGTTTCAGTTGCAGTCGAGATTCTCAAAGGGTACAGGTTGTAACAGCTGGGTTATGTTACCTTAGTTTTATTCCCGATTCCTCATACCATTAAGGTTTTTTAAACAGTATATGCAATTCTAAACGTAAGGTAAAGCAAATTGAAATTAATGTACCCTTTGCATAAACAGCAAACCAAAGCTAATTAGAGGTTACTTACACTAAAGCAGCAGATGATATCTGGTAACATCGGCTAAGGCACAGGTGTTGTAGGAACACAAGTTGTTTAAAATACTGGAAGCACTCGGGCTTTAACATCATGCTGTCACTGTACAGAGAACATATTAAGTTTTAAGCATACAGCAGCAGTAAATTTTGAAAATTTAGCCAGAGGAATTAACTGAATATCTACTTTTTCTACCACCAAAGTATGTTTTCACTGAATATGGAGGAAACCCATCTCTTGTGTATGTGCTGTGCATGTAAAGGGGCAAGTGAAGCAGAAGTTTCTCTTCACACATATACTCTGCAGCAGAATTTATGCCATGAATAGGCAAGTTCACCAGAGGTTTCAAAATACTGTAACTGACTAGGTCAACACCAAAATATACCTTTTTTTTTTTTAGAGTTATATGGCCAAGTAACAAATTATTATTAGAGATTACTTAAACCTCTCTCTGATGCTACGCTAATCAACTGTAGGCTTCTAAGTACTTCCTTCCATTCTACCTATCAATTACCATCTCTTGTTAGTTAACAAATCCTGTAGGTACCTGACATTTATGCTGGGATAATAAGACTTCTTCAGTTACTTATCTGCTCCAGAATAGGTCATGCCAGATAGCAAATCTTTTGTAGGTTTAGCTTGAATAGTATTTTCTGGATGTGCAGTGCTACCTACACAATCTTGCCTCAGTGTTAATCCCCTGAACCACAAGGATCTAAGGACTGGCTGAACACGTCTTCTTACCTGAGATCTAAATGGACAAGCAAAGGACATCTCTCCACCAGTGTTTTCACATCTGAAAAGAGGCCACACAGTCAGTCCCTCTTTCAGGAACAAGATGGATGTGCTTTACACAGCCTGCTCAGGTCCACACATGTTCCTTTATGTTTTCTACTGGAACCCCACAACTGAAGAACAATTTTTAAATTAAAAGATACATGCTTAAAACTTACAGCATACAGTCTGCCTATGAAGATACCTTGCATGGACATTTTTAAATCTCAGCAAAATCGATACATTTAGTTCAGCAAATTATCCCTAGAAGTCAGTTGCATCAACCATCAACTTAGGAAGACAATAATTCAAATTATATTTTTGTGAAATCTACTGGAGATATAGTAATGGTGAGCTGTTTGAAATACTTACATATAGTGGAAAAGTAATGAAAATTTTCCATGCATCAAATATCCTTTCAGAGCACCAAATCCTTTAGGCATCTCCGTTTTTGCCCATAAAAAGTTCTTATGACAAAAAGTTACGGTTTTCCTGATTTAAACTGTAAATTTTTGACTTTCTTTTCATTGTCTGCAAGTAGCACTGAATCACCACTGGTTCAGATATCACCTAAAAGCCATTGCAAGGTGCTCAACAACATGCAATAGAATTTTGGTATTTCAGAATTCATGTGCAGAAACTAAACAAAACAATACCTTAATTATGATGATTAATATACTATTCAAGTCTTATGCCTGTTAAATTGCACTGAAACAGAGTAAAGTCACGCAGTGAAAGTGTCTTACAAACAGGAGAGGTCAGCACATTGTCTCCAATGGTTCAATTAGAGGGCCCAAGGTTCAAATTCCTGACATGGAGAAGACAATATAGCATGTTTATTTACAAGTTTGGGGCTGAGGTAAGAAGATTTGCCTATTTCCCCATAAAGGCAATGCACGAAGGGGTCTGTGTGATATCTAAACAGAAATGAGAGGTCACCCCCTGCATGTCATCCAATGCCCTACTGTCATATTCACTCATTGCAAAAATTAAATTCTCTTTACCACAAAAGGACTTTCATCCTTTAGCTATGCTCTTCTTCATTTTGATGTATCCTCCCCCAAATCTCGACTTACCTGCATTTTCTCTAACCCTCCAATTTAATAAAACTTTTCTTCCTAGAACTAATATTAAGTAAATGGTTAAATGTTGATGGCTAAGATCGCCTTCCAAATTAACTTGTATCTGGATGTCAGTCTGAAACTCAAGGATTTACTATGATTGTTCTCTTTTAGAAGACGTTTTCAGCAGACACAACAGCAAAAGCCTTACAAAAGCCTCCAGATACTGTTCTAGAGATAATTAATAGCACACAAAATCACTGCTTCCAGGACTTACTTCACAAGTAAAGGCTGTTCCTTTCACCTGAAGAAGAAATAAATTTTCACTTGACTGTTTTTAAATGCAGAAGAAAAATCATCTCACCCTTCATGCCTGAGCTAAAGTATGAGTAAGAGACTCTGACAGCAAGAACTTCAACACAGAGCACAAAAGTTACTGTTAGTACATGACTCTACTATACAAAGACTGAAAGCCAAGCAGAAGAAAATGTAAAGTCTACTGCTTCATCCCATAGTGGGATAAACATTTGTCATGCTGCTGTTTACCTGCTATTTGTAGATTCTCTCTGTAGCCACTTAAATTTAACTGGGTGATCTTAGAAGTAATGTGATTGACTGCTGCTTTGACATGAATGGCTGTGAATTCACACCAGGACAAGTTCAGCTCCTCCAGCCTACATACAAACAGAATTGTTAACAAGAATGGCTGAAACACAGTTAAAGTTTGGTATTTTTCATTACAGTTGATACTTTTAAAGCAAATACTTGTAACATGCCTACTCCCAACTTACTGTATTCATACCTAGAACTTCCAGTAATTAAGCACTAATGAATTTAGCAGGTTATCCAGCCAAATTTATCTTTGGAGATTTTCAAGATCCAACCGGATCATCCACATGCACAGTGCTAATTTTAGACCCTGGTCTAGGATAGGGGTTCAAGTGACTTCCTAAACTACTTTCAGCTGGAACTGCCACAAGGAGACACTGTCTTTTCATTGGGTTTGTGATCTGAATCTGTTACAACTGAACAGATGGCCATATTGAGAGGAAAAACCACCATCCATTATTAGCACTGGTCAGATGACCAATTAATCCTAATTAGCATAAAATAATTAATAGCTTTATATAAACACTGTGAGTTCAACTCTCTTTACGTGCTTGACTACTTATAGCCTGTCACCATGGGGCTGGGACAAAGTATTGTTCTGTGTGCAGGTGTTGTAGCTGTAACCAAGGGACAGAGTGAATGTACAATTAGAGCATTTAGCTGGCACTCTCTACATAAAATGAAAAAACAGTTAAATTGCCACTAGCATTCCTAGGATCAGATTTGCCATCTGGTATTCACTGTGCACTGCACAGACTGCCATCCTCTAAAGAGCTTATGATCTGAGTAATCAGACCAAGCAACAGAAAGATTAAGGCTTTAACTTGCAATTTGATTAAAAAACATGCTTTTGCAGAAGGAATGATTACACAAGTTGTCCTGCAGGTCACAGGAAGTCAGCAGAAAGATTGGGATATACATCCTGAGTTCACTGGGGCCAAGTTCAGTGACGTTCTGCCAGCAAATGGTTTAATCACTGGAGCTGTCAATCTGAACACAGCCCTTCATAAACTAGAAGGTTACTGAAGGATTAGTCTACCATGGAAAGGCACAGTGTTCTCTGCTACTCATGCTGCATTCTGATTCCAAAGGGAGCTCTGGAATTTCACTTTGCAGTTCCAAAACACACTCTTTGTGAGAATCACATACTATTTTCATAAAGAAAATGAAATTTACATGGTATCAAAGGAATATAAATGGGGTTTACCCACCCAAGAAGATGATTCAGAAAACCCATGAAAAACTACTACAGTACATCTTTGCTATTAAAGAAGCAAATAGCTTGATGGAAATAAATTACCCAACTATCCAGTTAATAATCAAGTGCTAGGCATTTAGAACCAAAATCAGGCACATTAAAAAAATACTAGATACAAGAATAACTGGGATGCCCAAAGAAAAAAATATTTGTTTCAGGAATAGCAAAACCTGGTTTTGTCTTACATAGAACAGCTGCTCAACATCAGCTCCAAGGCTTCTGCCGAAAACCCTGAGCACCCACAAAGATTTAGTCGTATCAAATTGGGATTTCTAGCAATGCTTCTGTAGAGAGAAGAAAGAGAAAGCTGATAAAATTTAAATGTTGGAACATTGCTTGCTTTGCTAGGATGTGACTGTTTTTAAGATCTAACTTCCTGGACAGGGAATTTTTTATTAAACATAAAGTACTGCATCTTTAATCAGCTGACTTACCTAGTCACTAAGGCTCTCAACTATGTACTTGCAGCATCAAGGCACAAAATTAAAAAGGAGACTTGTCTGTTTACTTAACACTGCTGACAAGTCTGCATATTTATCAACAACTAAGTTTACAAGGAAATTATTTCTTTTCACCTTTTCCTGCAATATGACAATAAACATACAACACAGCTTATCAAGAGATGGTTACAGCTCTACAAAAGACAAAACAATGATCCTGTTTCTCATGTCACCCCTCTGCAAAATGGAGGTTATTCCAAGACAAAATCCGTGTCCAAATAGCATCCCCTGAATGCATTTGTTTGCAAGACTAGAGCATGCATGCAGTTAGCAAAACCTGGAACACTGTAACATGCCTACTCCCAACTTACTGTATTCATACCTAGAAATTCCAGTAATTAAGCACTAATGAATTTAGCAGGTTATCCAGCTTTATCTTTGGAGATTTTCAAGATCCAACCGGAGAACATCCTCATCCACATGCACAGTGCTAATTTTAGACCCTGGTCTAGGAAAGGGGTTCAAGTGACTTCCTAAACTACTTTCAACTGGAACTGCCACAAGGAGACACTGTCTTTATGTGCATAGCACATTTGTTCAGAAGGCAATAGGATTCCATCATTACTGCCTGATTAGTACCCAATTTACTGACAGTTTTAACTGTTACCACTGATTGTATAAAAAGCCAAACTATATTGGTCTATTTTTCCTCCAGTTCCCCCTCTATGGAGTGAGGAAGGAATCAGAAAGCCAGGGTCTTTGTCATCTGACCTTTGGTCCATGGCACCTCCACAACCCCCTGGTGTGACGAACAGAAGGTTGACTACACACCCATTAATGTCTTTGCAGCTGAACCAAAAAAACATTTCACCTTCTTGACACAATCTGTAATCTTCCAGGGCTTCATAAAAAGTGAGCAACAGTGCATAAGCACAATGGGCACCTGGTGGGAGAGGTACTGAGAGCCCTTGGAATAGAAAAGAACCTGCACACCAAACATGAAGTTCTCTTGGGAGCAAAAAAATGCGAAAATTAAAGTAGCTCTGCTATGAAGTTTAACTTAGGGATACATAAACCATAGAGAGGTGAGCAGTTTCTCCAACCTCCTACTACTCTGGGGAATTGAGAGGAAAAAAAGCCAAACTAAATAGCCACCTAAAACTGGCCATTTCAAATACACCCACAATGAACAACATTCCACTGCATTCTTTCATTAGCCTGCACAAAATGATGGCACCAAACAGAAGGTTTCACTGAGTATTCCCAATCAGGTCACTTACTTGATGATGTTGTCAGAAAGCACTAGACCCTCCAAGCTGAGGTTCTGCAGCTTTTCACATAGACAAAGAATACTGTGGAGATCTGCAGCAGACACTGTGCAGTTTGACAAATCCAGGTGCTGAATTTTAAGAAGACTAACAAAAAAAAAGAAGAAAGCTTACTAAAATTGCATTAAAACCCGCTCCATAAATTCCCCACATCACAAACATATCCCATACACTAAAAGCATACACAATTTACAGAAAATATTTCTACGTAATACCTCGCAACATCTTAAAGTCTATCCTACTGGAGTTAAATGATTTGAGTGTACCATGTAAAAATGCTGGAGATTATGAGAATTCAGGGCTCTACAAGATATTAACTGAAAGGGTATTATGATGCTTGATATTTAAAAAAAAAATCACATCACCTTGATTCTAAGTAACTGACAGGTGGATGCATACCCTCCTGTTTCAACACACGCCTAATCACTGATCAACTCTTCCACATTCCAGACACAGCACAAACACTGCTGATGGTTGCTAATACCTTAAAACCAAAACTACACAGACTAAGTACTTGAGACAGTTTCAGGATCCAGAACATGCAGGAAAAGCCTTACTTGCTTGTTTTAAACAACGGATTCCCAATGCAAGATCTTGGGCAGCGGAACGCAGTAACACCTGCAGGCAACAGGTGACCAAGCAGTCCTGGCAGCAGATTCCCACCAGTCAAATCAAGAGTCTGCCAGAGAGATTCATCAAATCTGGGGCATAGAATTTTACTCATTAGTGAATTCAAATGGGTAACAGGTCAAAGCTATGAGTACAACCACAGAAAGTTTTTGGTGTCAAAAACAGAGAAGGGAAAGCTATTTAATAGACTACAATAATGTTAAAACATGTGAGGCATCTTTTGGATATACATACCCACATATGGCCTAAATTGAATTATATATGTATAAATAAGATGAAAACCAGACCATTTAATGGTATATGAAAACAAAGATTTTCCTCAGTGCTAAACGAAGAGAAATAATACTTACGAAAGTCGATGCCATCTCTTGCAAATAGTAGAAACTTTCAGTAAATCCTTTAGGGGCAAACAGGCAAAGATTGCCAGAAGCAATTCATCTGGAAGTGCATCCAAAGAAATACCTGTAGGGAAAGAGCAAAACACATTCTAGTTAAAGCTAGTTCATTTTCACCTTCTGGTCAGATGCCTTGCTTGGTTTGGTTGTTAAAAGCCTCTCTACAGTTTCTCTGTAGGCCACACATCAGCCTACATCAGACATCAGCCCCACTATTCATCTCCCTTGCAGCTTATCATTGTAGGATGACATTTTTACCATCTTTGCCTAGGCATGACTGGTAAATGGAAAGGTTCCTGTAATATTCACTTTGTATACATAGTAAAGCCATGGACACTACTCACATAACTCACTTTGGGAACAAGAGCATCTTAGTTACTGCCTCTGTAATCTAATGCTTGTATGATTTTCTGGGGTTTTTTTCCCCTCTGTGAATGATCATTCTTCCTATGCATGCAAGGGTCCCAGAAGGGAGCTGAAGGTAAGTTATGCTTCTGCATGATACACAGACAAAATCAGGTACTACACACTGCTTCCTAAAACATACATGCTATCACCACTCCAAGAATTATGTAAAACAATGTGGTTCAAACCACAGGGCTTCTCTCTGGGCTCCAGAATGTGTCATGATTCATATGGGAGATTTGAGAATGGTGGAGCTCAGTAACAGCTGCCTTTAACCCAGCAGTGCGTCTTATATAAAAAGAGGATTGTCTGAAGGCATTTCCACCTTCTGTATGACAGCATAATGCCTGGAGAGAGCTGCTTATTTATTTTGCATCCCATACTCATCCAGAGTACAACCGCACTTAGACACCAAGGAAAGAAACCTAGTATTCTCTAACGCCCCTTTCAAGAGTCCAAGAGCCCTGCTCTTTCCCTTTCCAGCACAGCAGGCTGCCACCCTTTGATGTGATTTCCCTCATATGGTTCTATGCCTCTGGCATGGTCCCTCATATTGCTTGTTTCCATCAGGAGCTGGCACACAGCCCTGCTGGCACACCTCAGCCTGCACTCTTTTTACCCTTCTCCTCTTGCCTTCAAACAGGTATTTTTTGGATTGACTTTGGTTTTAGACTGATTGATTTTAGCTTGCTTTTTCTCTGTGCTCTTTAAGCACCTGGTAACTAGAATGAATGTTGCCAACAAACTTTGTCACACTTCTGCTTTTATATTAAGCCTACTTTTGCTACTGATTTTCGAGCGACCTTAAAACACTGATTCACAAACACAGCCCTGCTGGGCCGAAGTGCACCCTATGTCCCATACAGAAGAGCAAACAGGCACAGGGACATGCAACACCATCCCCCAGCACAAACACAAAGGTGCTCATGGGGTTAGGCAGCAGAGAACCCTGTTTTTCATGGGCCACAATTCTGGAGCCAGACACACCACCCCTATTTAAAGGCACACATAAAAGAGGATTTATCACCCCAAGCCTGAAAGCCGCTATATCTGAAAGTGACATTCTGCTGGATAAGAGCAAAAGAACTAACAACAAAGCAGGGCCGACTCGTGATGCTCACTCTCCATCTCTACCAAAGGGTGAGCAAAACCTGGACTAGGGTGACAGTACCTGACTCTGCCTGTCGGAGCAGCCATGGCTGGCGCACGATAACAAAGTCCTTAAAGTCCTTTTCGTTGTCCTTCACCTTCTGCCTTTTTGGAGGAAGACAGGGTGATGACACCAGCAGGTCCTGTGGTGTGTTTTCATTGCCCAGCTTGTCTTTCTTAAGGGCCGACACTCCCATACCCGAGAGAAGCTCCGAGGTCTTGCCGGGGTCCCATTCCAAAGTGGTGGAAACATTAGTGCTAGAGGATGGGATCTCCTGGAGGTGCTTTCTGCAGACACAGCAAAACCCAGAGGCTCTGAGAGTACTGCCAGATTGACACTAAACACAGGAGGGGGATCCTTGAAGCATTTCAGTCACACGTACTCCACATCCATATGCAGGGCAATTAAGTGTGGGATATCTGCGGGCGCTGGAAGCACGAGCGGAGGCCACAGCGCAGGCGTGTGCTCGATCTGGCAGACTGAGGAAGAGCCCGCCTGGGACTGAGCGCGCCTCGCTCCCGGATGGGGCGGGCGAGGCACCGGGGAGCGGAGCCAATGGAGCGGCGGGACGCGGCAGCCTCCCGGCGCCACCAAACCCGCCCGCAGCCGCGACGGCAGCGCGGGCACCGGGACGGGATGCCCGAGCAGGTGGGGGAAGCGCTCCCCGCGGCTGCCGGGATCCCGAGGGCAGGACCCCCCGCTGGCCGGGGACAGCCCGCGGGGCCGCACGCGTACGAGCGATCCCGGCACGGCTCCCATGCCCAGGAGCTCCTTCGCGCTCCCCGGGTCCCGCACCCGCTCCCGGCGCTCCCACGCACGGCCCCCCCAGGCACCCCCGCGCAGCCAGGCCTCCCGAGGGGTCCGTGAGGGCTCCCACGCAGCCCGGCAGCGGAACTCGCACGCGCGCGTCCCGCCGCCCCCGTACCTGTACATGGCGCTCGGAGGTCCGCGCCTGCCGCGCGCCCCGCGCCTTTCAGCACCGCGCTATCCCGGCGCCGGCCGGAAGCCGCGGCGGGGGCAGGAGCGCAGAGGCTGCCGGGAGCTGTAGTTCGCAGCCCTGTGCCCGCCCGGAGGCGGGGCCGTGCCGGGCCGGCGGCAGCGGGCGGCGAATGGCGGCGGCTCCGACGCGGAAGAAGCCGGGAGCGGCCGCCGCTCCGTGTGCCGCGCTCTGAGCCGGGTGCCGGCCGGGATGGTGGGCGGTGGAGCCCCGCGGGGGACGCGACGCTGAGCGGCTGCTCGGCCGTGGTGAGACGCAGCGGGCGGGATGCGGGGCCGGGCGGAGCGGGGCCGCAGTGCCGAGTCACGGCCGGGAGCGGGGACAGGAGCCGGGTTGGGGAGCGGCAGTCCCCGGGCACGTCCCCGGCGACAAAGACGCGGAGGGAAGGATGGTCACGGAGCACGGCTGGGCGAGGGCGGTCGGTGCGTTGGTTTCCAGGCTCGCATGCCGGGTGTTGCCCCCCGGGCACGTACGGCGGGGCTGTGCTGGTTCCGAGTCCCTGGAGCTCGGTGCTGTGCCGCACAGGCCTGTGCGCACACCGCCGGGCGGGGACGCCGGGGAGCGCTGGCGCATTCCAGCGAGAGAGGTTTTCTCTGGGAACACCTGGTCCTGAGCCTCACCATGCCTTGAAGAGACCCCGCAGTCTTTTCACACCGCGGGACTTTCAGCAATACAGCTCTTCCTGCGTTTTTTACGCTAAACTCCTTGTTTTGAAATTGGTGGGGATGGAGAACTAATTCTGAACACACCTACAGCCTTGCTCTTAGTCAACCACTTGATTGCAGATGCTGTCCTTTGTTTGCTGCATAGCGATGGAGAGACGTGCCTATAAAATTGAGGGTGGTAATGGAGCCCGTAGCAAAGAGCACACAGCTTTCAGTCACATACAGAGAGAGAATGATGTGACTCAAATTAAGATCCAAACAATCTTTCAAAAAGTATTTTTTCACCGTTTCCGGTTTTATCTTAAGTCACGGAACAGTTGTTCAAAGATTGTTTAAGCAGATAATCAGATGAAAAAGAGGTGGACTTTTGGGTAAAAAAAAAAAAAAAAAGCTGAGTTTATTTCACCTTTTTTTGCAGCCCCTTTTTCCTTTGTGAGTCATGTAAATCTTTTTTATTAATGTATGGGAAATCGAAAGAGGGTTTTACAAAAAACCCGAGTGTTTTTTAGAATCTGGAAATTAATAAATAGTCTGCCTGAAAGCAGTGTTGGGGCAGTAGTCATTTGACTGCCTTACTGACACCTGCTTTGTGTGAGCGCAGTCTCCCATCAGGCTGGGAGACTGGCAGAATCCTTAACAGATATGCTTTACTCTTTCTAGCCTTTCTTTAAGAATATAATACTGGAGTGGATTTGTTAAATTTGGTGCTATATTAAAGCTCAAAAGTGTGGGGGTTTTCATTCTCTGCTGTTTCATTTAGTAGGTTGAGTTTTCTGTACCAGGCAGAGTTCATTTGTAATGTAGATGTCGTGAATGCAGTTGCTCTTAGGTTGGCAGGGTAATTTAATACTGTTGATAGTAGGGAGTCTCTCATATTTAGGGTGTATTAAGCCTGAACTGAGTCCTTTATGGTGCATTCAGTGTTAGTAGTTGGGTAGAATGAAAAACTGCTGATTTTGTCCGTCTAAAAAGAAGCAGGAAAATCCTAAGCTAACACAGGAGCATGTCCTTATGTTTTATTGCTTAAGTTACACTTCCTGTGCCAGTGTTTCAGCTTTTAATTTTATTTGTATTAATTTGTAGTTGCCTGCTTTTTCAGAAACTGAGTATGCTGATAAGTACTTCTCAATTCATGGTGAGGGCTCTTGTTACTTTGTCATTGTCATTGCTTTAATAGAAGCATCCTCTAAGCCATTGAAGGTTCCACAGTACAAGAGAGCTCTTCTGAAGTGGTTGTTTCAGTACAACATTGTTTTAGCAATTTTGGAATTCCAGCAAGCAGATACTACGTAGCTGTATGCCAATAGTGAGATGGCTGTCTAAATAAAGTGATGAAACAGGATGATAGGTAAGAGGCTTAGCTTTCTTTGAGCTAGCAACCAGGTTCAGTGGCAAATGCTGCTTTCCACAGGAAGGCATGGCTTTATAGCCTGCAGTAATGTATTTTAAGGCCTGATCTAGTAGCACAGGTCCTAGACGTATCTGCATCTGCACTGTTGGATTGCATTCAGTTCACCAGAAGAGCTCTTCTCAAGTATTGCATTTCTCACTTTGTGGATTTTCTTCCATTTAATCGTTCTGTGTGTAGAGCTGGTTTTAAATGGTTTCTATCTAAAAATTTTAAACTGTTACTTTGAAAATGTATATATATTAATTCAAAACAACTCTGTTATTGGTCTTGGTCTTTTGAAAAAATAGCCTTTCTTTTTTGTGTTTTGAGATTAAAATGGGAACCAGAGAAGAACATAAAGATGTAGTTTACTGACAACTGCAAAGTCACTTTTGTCTTTGAAAGTGAGTTAAGTTGCAGTAGGAATCAATTCCCTCTTTACTTTAGAACATTCAGTACGTTTTTATAACACTTCTGGAAGTACACTCATGATAGTAGCTGAGCGCGGCATCTTGCACAAAAACATTTTACCTTTTGTTTTGGTAGAAGCTTTTTAGGTGTGACTGTAATAAAACTTTGTGACTAATGAAGTGTATGCTGTATAATTTTTTTTGTTTACGTAGCAAAAGGTGTGGTGCTAATGGGCACGAAAAACTGCATGCCAGATGGCAGTGCCTTAATGAAGCTGATACTTTTAGAAGCTGTAATTGTTTTGTTATTTTTGCTTCTGCGAAATTAGCTGTTATACTGTAAATTGAAAAGACTTTTATGTGGAAGCAATAATGGTGCAAAAGAACAGTCAAGGACTTGCTTTGAATAAGTGATTGAGAAATGGGTGAGATATCCTGAGTTTTTAATGTACAAATTATCTAACTAAAGTAGAGTACAGACAGATAGTAAGGAGGGGATTTGTCTTAATGGAAGTGTTGATAGTTTTATAAACATGTTTGACAAAAGGCAGGAAAGTAAAAGTGTGTGAATCTTTGACTAGAAACAGGAAGATAACTCGCTGGGGAGAAAAAAGTCACAGAATAATTGTTCCTCTGTGTCCATCAAGGTAGTAATGACTTAACAAACTTCTGAGGTTTTTTAGTGTACATAAGAGAGTTTTCACTGTGTAGTGCCCTCAAGCATTGTAGATCTGCTTAAGCAATTCACTGAGAAATCAGTAAAAGAAACTGTTCACTTTACGAAGTTCTAAAGAGATATAAAAGTAAATAGAGAGGAATTTCAGTAATAGCATTCCTTTTAAATCTCAAGAAAAGTGGAAGTACTGGAAGTCTTAACAGCAAAGCCATAGCAAAAACTATTTCACTTAAATAAAATTAGTGAAATGTTAATCTCACTGGAGAGACAAGAAAGACTGGCCACAGTAATAAACCTTTTAAATAACGCATAAAATGGCTGTGATAAAATGATGCTCATTACAGAGGTCTGAAGCAATTTAAATAAAAATGTAACAAGTCAGTGACATTTTCTGTAATGGATTTGTGCAGCTCACTGTCCCTTTGTGTAATAGCTTTGCTGTGTAAAGCTGTATGAACTTTCTGACAGTAGTTCTGATGGTAAGAGAGTAATTAAACACAGAAGGACAAGCAAAGCAAAAATACATAATGGCAAACTATACCAAATGAATTGAGACCATTGTTTCTCTGAATAAAGAGAGGAGTAGGAAGGTGAATCAAAATTCTTGACATTTCAAACCTAAAAGAGGTGCATTACAAGTAGACTAACGCATTCTTTTCTGTGTTTTTATGCTCTATTAAAGCTTATGTACAGACTTTAAATATGTATTTAAGGTACACTCCATTAAAAAAGTTGTTCATTAGCTAGCCAGAAACATTTAATGTAAACATTTAACCCTTTGTAAAAATTAGTTGATTGCTTCTAAAAGGAGGAAAAAAGAGCAGAATAGAATTTAATCTTGAAATTTGTCCTGGACCTAAAGTTGGGCTAGTAGTTTATTTAAGGACAGAGATTTGCCTCCTGGATCTATTGTATATCAAGATGATGAACAAGAGTTGTCCTAATACATTGCTGGAAATGACAGCATTGGAATGATATGTTTTGATTTCCTCAGAGGATTTCAGAGCATCTTGCTGAAAATCTTTGGTTTTTTCTGATAAGAATCTTGGTCATGTGAAGTGTGAAAAGTTAGTTAATGTTTTAAAGTGTCCATTGAACAACTCTTCTGTGTAAATATATTCTGGAGATTTTAATGGTATTAAATATCATTTTGTCTTGCAGCTCTGCTTTCCCAAGTGAGAGTGGTGTGGCTGGGGCCAGTATTTAACAATGAGTGGTGCAGCACTGGGCCTCGAGATAGTGTTTGTCTTTTTCCTGGCCTTATTCCTACTTCACCGGTATGGAGACTTCAAGAAACAGCACAGGCTGGTGATTATAGCAACATTATTGGCTTGGTATCTCTGCTTCTTGATTGTATTCATCCTGCCTCTTGATGTCAGTACGGTAAGAAACATGCAGGACTTCCTGCTTAATTGCATCAAATGTTTATGGTATTTCTCTAAACTAGTGATTGCAGGAAACCATCTCTTAGAAACACCAAAGAAGTCTTTCATGTAGTATCTTAATAAATTAAACATGACAATGCCTTGTGTTCATAATTAATTTTATTTTCTGTTGGTCTCATCAGACAACAAATCTATTCCAAACATTTTAAATTTATCTTTTAGACTATTTATAATCGATGCAAACTTGCGGTTAACTCCAGTCCTGCAGAAAGTAATGGCTCTTACATTACTCTTGCTCCAAGGTATGAACTATATGTTTTTTTATCTTTAGACTGTGTTTTATAATTTTCTTTTTTTAATTTATAGCCTGTTGTGTTTTTAAGACTGATAAGTAAGTGTTATCTCTGTGATGCAAAATTTGAAGTTTGTAAATACACAGGACAGTGAGGGAAAAGGTGATGAAAGGTGGATCTTTATCTGCTGATATTTTTTTTTATGTCACTAGATTTCCTTTTTTTTTTTTTTTTTTAAAGCAATAGGACTAAGCTTTTTGAGCAATCCTGGTTATGAGGAGAGGCTTTGATGAATGCTTATCCTTTACAATCTTAAAGACTTTAAACCTGAAAATCTAATTTTATACCTTTAATTTACACCATATGAATGAAATCAGCTGCTTGTCTTATATGTCAGGGGCATATCTAATTGCTTCTTAAAATTACATTTACATATGGTAGTTACATTTATCTGAAATGTACTGTATTCCACCAAAGTCACGGTAGCCTGCTAGGTGTGTGCTGGCAGGAACAATGTAATCCCTAACCATGGAGAAGTAGACTAACGTGGGCTCATTCCATGGCTCTCATCCGTTAGCCGACACTGGCTGTTTCCCTGTGTTATTTATGTGTGCGGTGTAGTTATCTGTAAAATGATCAGAGCCTTTAATGTATCAGCCAGTTTCTGTGCAGTCTTGCCAGTCTTGCCGCCCCAAAGAGGGGCCCAGAGGAATGGTGAAGTGGTAGTCACACAGTATTGCGCCCTATACTTAAGACCACCCAGTGGATGTTAAATCTATTTAATTATATACACAATTAGAAAACTATTCAGTAACCTTTTAATTTATCTATAGCTTCAGACAAACTTTTTTCCTTAGACTCACAGAATGGTTTGGGTTGGAAGAGACCTTAAAGATCATCCAGTTCCAATCGGCTTCCAGAGCCAGGAACATCTTCCGCTAGGCCAGGTTGCTCCATCCAACCTGGCCTGGAACACTGTCAGGGTTGAGGCATCCACAGCTTTTCTGGGCAACCTGTGCCAGTGCCTCACCACCATCACAGTAAAGAATTTCTTCCTAATCTCTTATTTAAACCTGCCCTCTGTTGGTTGAAAACCATTGCCCCTTGTCCTGTCACATATAAAAAGTCGATTTCTTTCCCTTTTATAAATCCCCTTTAGGTACTGGAAGGGGCTATAAGGTCTCCTTGCACCTTCCCTTCTCCAGACTGAGCAACCTCTGCTCTCTCAGCCTGTTTTAAAGGTTTTGGCAGCTCTCATAGGTTATTTAGTCATACTGCCTTTCATTTTATCTTAAGCTGATAGTTTTGAAAGTATTTAGGCCATATCAAAACTTACAACTCAGGCTTAACTAGTTCGACCCTGGAAAACATCAATTATTTCTCATTAGGTAATCTCATCTAAGTTGACTTTATTGTCCCTTGACTCACCCTTGCTTCATTACCCAGACAGGTGTGTTGAAAAAAAACAAACTGCCTTAGTTTAGACGGAAACCTTTTCCTTTGTTCTTTCCTTTTTTTTTTTCTTAGAAGGGCTCATATGACTTTTCTGTCTTCTGTAGCGAACACTGCCTGTCAGAAGAGTATTGGCTTATTGAATCAAAATGTATGTGTGACTGACTTAATCCAGCTGAGTGGCAGAAGAAACAACTAATATGTTCTTTGTATGACTAAGTGCGCTAGATGATTATGTGCCTAGATATTTTTTGAAAACCTGCACTAACTAAAATTTAATGCTTCTCTGTTTAAACAAATGTTCTTTCTGTGCATGAAATTATTACTACTGAAAACAAAAAACTGTAACCTTAAAATGCTTTATTGACTAGTCCTCTTCAGTCTTGGAGCTTCTGAGTTTTTTTCTCTAAGAAAGATATCCTGTCCAAATACATTATTTGTGGTTAGGAAAATGAGAAATATTTCTAGTGATTATTCAGTTTATTTATTTGGGAGACGATTGATTGTTGACTATGTACTTGAATAGTATTGTACTACTTCTGTGTTCTTTTCAAAGACCTTTATAGATAGGAATTTATGGAAGTTGCTTTTTATACTCAGGGCTCTTCAACTAACAATAGTCTTCTTTACGTTGTAGCAGCAAACAAAAATGTTTCAAACCCTGGAGTTATATTCCTGATGGAATTATGCCAATTTTCTGGCGTGTTGTATATTGGACGTCTCAGTTTTTAACATGGTAAGGCAAAAGGATATGGCAAAGACAATGATAGAGTTTTTAAGTGGACTATCTTAACAGTCGTAGTATTCTTTAAAAATGTCTACAGTATGGCAAAGAGCTTTTATATTGTATATTATTTGCTAGTAGTGAAATTTCTGTATGAATAAATAATTACTAATTTAGTCATATCCTTTTTTTTCTTGCTTCTGTGGAAGCAAATTTCAGGTGGCAGCCATTTATCCTTGGTTCGCTTTTGTAGTTGAAACTAAGCAATTTACACATGTAGGGGTTTATGGATAGATTGTCTGAAAGAAATGGGTTTTAGGCAACCACATACCAAAATAATTCCATGAATAATTTGGGTGATTTTTGAGTAATATTGTGAATTAGTTGGTTTGATCAGATATATTGCATTAAGCTTTAGACATAGCTACAGCTATAGCTGTCTATAGGGTTTTGGATTGTCTGTGCTTTGTGTGGTTTCTGATCAACCTGTTATCAAATAATTATTTTTGTAGTTTCAAGGATTTCAGGGTTGTTAGTTCATTCTTATTTATCACAGATTTTTCATAGCAAAGCTAACTGTATTGTTTTTATCTGCAGCTTGTATAAGGTTTGCCATCAGACAGGTACATCTAGAATAAAAACATCTAAGTAGCTAATTTCTTAGAAGCTTGGGAGTCTTAAAACTTTAACACTGCTGCCTCAGTAACCTGACACTGCTAAAGTTCTTTTTTTGGGGAGGTTGGTGGTTTGGGTGTTTGTGAGATTTGTTTGGGGGGGGGGGGGGTGGGGGGTTTTGGTTTTTTTTTTTGATTGGCTGATGTGANTTTAACACTGCTGCCTCAGTAACCTGACACTGCTTAAGTTCTTTTTTGGGGGGGGGGGGGGTTGGTGGGTTATTTTGTTTGTTTGTTTGTTGTTGGTGGTTTTTGGTTTTGGTTTTTTTTTTTGATTGGCTGATGTGATTTTGGTTTATTTCCTTTTCTCCTAGGATTCTGCTACCTTTCATGCAGTCATATGCTAGATCAGGAGGGTTCTCCATCACTGGAAAGATCAAAACTGCTTTGATTGAGAATGCCATCTATTATGGCACTTATTTGCTGATTTTTGGAGCATTTCTAATATATGTAGCTGTAAACCCAAACTTCAATTTACAATGGTGAGAATAATGTTGTAAACATTTCCATGAGTTCTTACACGCTTGTCATGGATAATTTCTACTGTGGATGAAATGTGACTTTCTGGAAAAAATAGTTTCAGTTAAAATATTTTGCTAGTCCGTTGGAAAATTATGTTAACTTTATTTATGAAAGGGCCTTTTTGAATATTTATAGAAATTTGGGCGTTATTTTTCTGATTTTGGTATGTACAGCAGAGGAATCCTCTTGTATTTACAATGGTGCTTTTTTCTCCATACAAACACATTTGCAAAGTTAGTGCAGAAATTTCCAATGTTTTCAGAAAAACATATTTCAAAAAAAACAGTATTTCCTGTGTTGTGCATCTAAATACTGTAGACTTTAAAGGTGAAAAGGAAAGTTAAAATAATTGACATCTATAAATTGCTTATAGTCTTCCATACCAGATGGAATAGAAATCTGAATACAAATTTCTGAACACAATATTCTGAATACAAAAGACTGTTTCTTACAGTGACTGCCATTCTGCTATTTTGACCTCACTGTCAGTAGGTTTGATAAGTTCATGTTGTTTCCTAAGGGAACATATTCCTTTAGGAGAACAGTTTCTTTGTGAACAAACAGACAAATTCTTATCTGCCACCTATAGTGGGAAGAACAGGACATAAAGGAAAATTGTGGCAGCTTTAAGTACAGCCAAGCAGCAGATTGGCTCCAGGCAAAAATCTAGGTGATACCAGAGTTTGTTCCTGTAAACTTGAAAGCCATATTGGTACTTCAAGGCTGGTTTCTTGCAGGCAGAATGGGAGGATGTTGTTTGTTTGGGTTTTTTTTATACTGTTTTGTTTCCTTAGGAATCAGCTTCAGACTATTGGAATAGCTGCTGCAAACACATGGGGTCTGTTCCTTCTTGTGTTGCTTTTGGGTTATGGTTTGGTGGAAATTCCTCGTTCTCACTGGAATGGGGCCAAGAGGGGTTATCTACTCATGAAGACTTACTTCAAAGCTGCCAAACTGATGACTGAAAAAGCAGATGCAGAGGAGAATTTAGAGGATATTATGGAGGTAAGGAACTAGCTTTCCCTGTGTAAAAAAGTGAAGGCTGCTGTTAGTTGTGTCTTAATCATTGAATTTAGAGGATATTATGGAGGTAAGGAACTAGCTTTCCCTGTGTAAAAAAGTGAAGGCTGCTGTTAGTTGTGTCTTAATCATTGGTGTTGGACACTTGTAGAATGAGCTTACTGTAAAATACCTGCAAACTAAGAAAATCATCATAGTGTGCTACTTGGTAACACTCAATCCTATACAAAAGTCAAAACAGAAACAGTCCTTGCTGTGATAAACTTTAAAATCATAGCAACTTGATAACCATTATTTGATGAGTCTGTTCTTTTATTGACACTTTTGGAGTAGTACTGGTCACTAACAAATAATATTCTGAGTGAGCTTGAATAATCAGTGTACAGATGTTTCATTAGCGTTAAAATTGTGTACTTATTTTATGCTCTGCTCACAGTGTATTTCTGGAATCTTGAGAAGAGTTTCCAAATTGTGGGGCCACAATTACATGCTTTTTGAGAAGAGAATATAAAGATAATTGTTTCTTTTGAGACTATATTGTTAAATATCAGTGAGCAATAGGCTCTAATGTAATCAAGAATGGAAATCTAGCCCTTTAGATTAGCTACTCCTGGTTCTTCTACTGGGATACCATGGCTTGTAATAATATGTGTGAACCGTTGTAGCATAGGGTGAAAATTTATGTTACGCATCATTTGTACTGACTCATAACACAAATAGACCCTTAATCACATAACAGTAATAGAATCCTTATTCAACTCTAACAGCATTTTGAAGCAGCTGCTAAAACAGTTAAAAACATCTAAGTGGGACATAACTTCAAAACTTACTAGATAATGAGCAATGACAACCCTTTTTTACCAGGATAGCACTTAAAACAGATTATTTCCAGTGAAGGGGACCAACAGCAGTCATCTGATGCAGCTGTCTGAACACTTCAGAGCTGACCAAAGTTGAAGCAAATTACTAGGAGCATTGTTCAGATGCCTGGAGAGGGAGATGCTGATCTCTTTTCCCTATTAGCCAGTGACAGGATGCATGGGGGTGGTTCAGAGCTCTGTCCAGAGAGGTCCAAACTGGACATTAGGAAGCAGTTCCATACCACAGGGGTGGTGGGTGGTCTCACACTGACAGGCTTCCAAAAGTGGTGGTCAGTGCCCTGAGTCAGTCAGTGGGACTTACTCTTTATCTCATTTTTATCTGCAACTTAAACTTCAGCTTTCATGTGTAGAAACCAATCCTCCACGCATTTATGTAGTTGTATATTTGTACACTGCTGTTATTTTTTAAAAAAATATGTGTTCTTTACAAATACTTCACTTACCTTTTATGAGGTACCTTATATGGAACTATATTTAGTCAAACTTTTAGGAAGATGTATTTTTTTAAGCTTTGATGGCTGTCTGTTGGGAGGGCTGCTATTCTAATTGACCAGTAAAAATTTATAGTTAATGAAAATTTTTTTTAATTGACATTTTTAATATAGCATAATTAAACTGCTCTGTTATTTTTTCTCTGAACAGGAAGTCCGCAAAGTAAGTGAGAGCATCAAATATAACCACCCCTTGCGGAAATGTGTTGATACAATACTGAAAAAGGTAACCAATTGCTCATCTTCAACCATAATTATTCAGTTGGGAGGAGGTGCTTCCTGCACATACAGAATACTTGCACATTACTTTCTTTTGCTATTAATATAAAATCTCTAGTTGACATCTTCTGAGTTTCTGTTGAGACTGAGTTCAAATTCTTTGTGCAATGCGTTCTTATGACATACATAATTATCAGATGTATGTTGATATAGAGTCAAAATGGCCTTTGTAGAAAGAGAGAAAAATGTATGCTTAGAGTGAGCTTTCAGTTGCATGAAATGCCCCAAACTTTTACAAATAATTAGCAAAAGATGATTGCTACTCTTTTGTCTCCCAGTTAATTTTCCCTTTTCCTTCCAGTGCCCTACTGAGTACCAGGAAAGAATGGGTAGGAACATGGATGATTATGAAGATTTTGATGAAAGACAGAACAGTTATCCCAGTGAAAAAAGTTTGGCCAAACTTCACAAACAGGTATATTAATAGATGGGAGAATGCCTTACTTATGCTACTGTAGTGAGAGTAAATGCTGTTCAAAGATTTTGAATGCACTTCATCTGGACTGTTTAGTACAGTGGGTTAAAGCTACTTAGCAGAAACTTTTCTTGGTGAGAAAAAGCACAAACGTTTAATATCCCAAGTGATCAGAGTTTTGGATATGTAAAAAGTGTTCTTCTTGTGTTGTATCTTGATAGTGTTATAGCTCTCTTTGAGTGAGCCTTGTAATGGTTGACTGACAGTGCATTCTGAAAAAGAACTTTACTAAAAGCTTGATATTTCCTGAGATGCAAAAATAAAGTGGTAGTTTGGGAAAAGTAGGATTTAATTGCTACAGATGGACTGTGGTGAAAGACCTGCAAAACTCAGTAATTGTTTATGTAGTACTTCCATGATTTATGTATTTTAGAAAATTAGGTACCTGCTTTTTTGAAGATACAGTCTTTGCAGTTCTGCAATGCACACGTTTTCAGGGGATTTTGCAAGGATTTTCTGCCATTTTTTGAAACAAGTACCTTGTAACTCTAATTTCTTGCAATTTATTGTAGGTAATCTATTCAGTGCAGAGACATCGTCGTACACAGGTCCAGTGGCAAATTCTTTTAGAGCAAGCATTTTACCTGGAAGATGTGGCAAAAAATGAAAGCAGTGCAACTCGACAGTTTGTTCATACTTTTCATTCCCAGGAACCAGAAAATAAAATTGTTCAGTATTTCTACACGCCAACGGTTGGTAAGTGCTGTGATGCAGGTTTTAGGAATGTTAAGGCATAACTCATACCATTCTGTAACAAGAACCAATTGTTTTATGTGAAAAGTTCAGCTGCAGCAAAGGGAAGCAATAAATACAATATTAATGTATTTATGTATGGGAGAGCTATTAGATACTAATTTATACTCTTGGCCATAAGTTTCAATTTTATTTACAAATTCGGTAGCAGTTACGTGTTGCAGTAAAGCAACAGCAAACTTTGAAGCCTTTTGTGAGGGAGTTCTGTTTCTGGTTGTGTAATTTTCATTAACCTGTTCCGGATATGTCTATGTGTGTTTTTTTTTTTCCAGAGTGGTACTGGGAATGCCTTCTCCGACCATGGTTTTACAGAGTGCTTGCAGTTGTGTTGGCCATGTTCTCTGTAATTGTTGTGTGGTCAGAGTGCACATTCTTCAGCACAAAACCAGTTCTGTCACTATTTGCTGTTTTCATACAGCTGGCAGAAAAGACATATAATTATATATACATAGAGGTAAGTTGGAGATAATCACTTGAAAAAATATTTTCAGGTCAATGGTTATGATAACAGCAGTAGATAAAATAGATTTTAAAAGAAATCTCTAATCTGTCAACTTTCAGAAGGTCTCTAAATATATGGTACCAAACTTTGTGTGGAGGAAATCTGCCTTTTGCCCCTTGCTAAAACTCTCAAATACAGTGAGGGCATGACCCAGCTGGCCTGAATATCATGTGTAGAGTAATTTCTGAAACACTAGGTTGGAACATAGGTGTTAATTAGACTTTCTGCCTAAACAGCCATGTGCGTGACCTTAGTTTCTAAACTTAGGAATTTGCAAATGAACAGGAATCCAGTCAAAAGGTGTGGCTAGCATATGTGTGCACAAATTTATCAGTAAAGATACTGAGCTGAAGAATTCCCTTATATACTTAGCAAAGGTTGATTTGAAAATGCTTGGGTTTATGGCTTTTTTGTGGAAATAAATGCCAGATCAGTCATGGTAATTGTTGAGGCAATTACTGCAATTTTATTTGCATTAACAAGAAGTAGTAGAATGTTTCTAGGGTCAACTGTGTTAGCTTATATGCACAATATTGTAATTTCCACTTTAAATTGTTCTGAAAAACTCCCAAACTCTTCTTAGACCTGGTGGTGTTCTCAAATCTCAGAATGAAAAATAAAGGCTGGAGATGGTCTCTGCATGTAACAGGCTATCTGCTGAACACATTAAAACCTTTAATAGAGTTCTACATTTAAGCAACTTAACAACATTTTTTTTTTTCTCTAGATGGCCTGTTTTCTTACCATCTTTTTCTTAAGTATCTGTGTTTACTCTACTGTATTCAGGATCCGTGTATTTAACTATTATTACTTAGCTTCACATCATCAGACAGATGCATACAGTCTCCTTTTCAGTGGCATGTGAGTATTTGGTATATGTTTTATAGGTGTTCTATCAAATACTGAATTGAAAATGTCCATGAAACTTCGATTTACGTTCTTTATTTTGTATAATTCCTAATGAGCTGTACATTGTTGTTCTATGATAGATCCAGTTACGACTTTGTAGGTTATGTAAGAAACTCTCTTAAATGCTGTTGCCTCTTGCATTTGTGCAGGCTATTCTGCCGTCTAACTCCACCATTGTGTTTGAACTTTCTGGGCTTGACCCATATGGATGCAACAATCTCTCACAAAAATACTCAGCCAACTGCTTATACATCCGTAAGTAAGAAAATATGGGTTTGAGCTTTTAATATGGTTTGGACAATAGACAAAGTATTTTTAAATACATCTTATAGTAAGATTCAGATATTCAAATCTTTTCAATCCTTCCAACAGGTTGAAAAATATTTGGTTATAGTCAAGGAGTTTGGTAATGATTTCTAGAAGTCATCAACAGCTTTTTTTTTTCCCTTTCTTTATCTTAAGAAAGTAAAGTATTATGCTTTAGAGTTCAGGGTGTTTTCATTTCTTAATATAATTTCCTGTTAGTTTTAGCTTTCAGTGGCTTTACCATGTAGGGCATCCCTATAGATGATGCTCCCTATATCTTGGGAGCAATCCTCACTTCCTACTGAAAACCAGTGTGATTTTATTGAAGACCTGGTTACTGTGGCAAGTTATATCTCATGTCTTTATTGTTAGTAAGTAGATTCTTATGTTGTCTAGAGACTCTTTTCACAGCAGATGAAAAAATTCCACCAGATTTTCCCTTGTTCTAGAGTGGGTGAGACTACAAAATTAAGCATTTCAGAAACCTCAGAGTGCTGGAGGGGTCCTTTACATCTGCTAATTCTCACAGGTCTCTGATAATATTGCCATTGTTTCAGTTACTGTAAAGGATTGTGTATTTATGTGAGAAAGCACGATCTTCATGGATTTATGTAGAATGTAGCTAATTCGAGCTTGTTCTTGTGGATTTTTTTTTCCTAGATAATGGGATCCATGAGAGTGCTGTCCTTCATTGCAGATGGATTCTACATATACTACCCAATGCTTGTTGTCATTCTTTGCATTGCTACGTACTTCAGGTGAGTGATTTGCAAGATAGATCCTCTATGCTTCTTAACATTAATAAAACTAGTTTCATCCAATTCAGGAAGAGATTCAGTACTGCTTTTCCAGGAGCTGAGTTGTGTCATTCTAATAAAAATGCAGATCTTAAATCCATAGATTGCTATTTATATAGGTGAAATGTGTACATTTTAAAAATACGGATTATATTGACTCCTAACTGAGTTAATTTAAACTTCATTCCTAGATTTTAAGGGATGATTTGTTCAAACTTTGGAGCCTAGGGGCATTTAGATTGTGCTTTTGATTAAAATTATCATGAGAATGCTGTTTTCAGCAAAGTTTTTTAATAAATTAAGGACCACTATCAGCAAGTTTAGGTATTGAACTTTCTAACAGACTCATATCGAATTTCTGATGTACTACCAGACTTCTGGTAATGCATAGTGGTTTAAGTCATTTGATCTTGTTTCCCTAAGCCATAGAAGGGTAATTGCAGAAAACATTGTTACATTCTTGCTTTATCATTTTGAAATATCTGCTTTTGAACACCGTAAGGGATGCGATACTTTTAGTTGGATGTTGCTGAAATGCATTTATGTTAATATCTTCAATTTTGCATTACCATTCAGTCTGAAGCAATCTCTTGTTTTTAGTCAAGTACAATATAGTGAAATGCCTTGGATATTCATTAATACTGTATGCGGATCTATAGATAGTAAGTAAAAAGTATCTAGCTGTGAGTTCTCCCTGCTTACCTTAAAGTTAAGTGACAAAAGTGGTGGTGCAGCTTAAAAATCACACAAAAAACCAAGTCAAACAAAACTAAACAAACAACAGGAAAGCAAATGACAAAAAAGAGAAGTTTGACCTTTTGTCCGTGATGATCATGCTGGGCCTTGAATGCCAAAGTGGAAAGGAAGAATAGAAATTAAAGGAGAGAGGGTTGCTTTAATGACCTGTGCTAAGAAAGATACATGCAAAAACAAAGGTTGAATTAAAATCTGTTGAGGGAAGCTGTGCTTAATTCAGCAGTTTTAATCCTGTGCTTAATCCAGGAGTTTTAAGGTAGTATAAGGGAAAAATATATCAATACTCCAGTATGGAGGAAGGAAAGCAGTACAAAAACAGCAGTTGTGTTCTCTGATGTGAAGCTGAAAAGATGAAAGTGATTTCATATGATGTAGTTCCCAGACTGGCTTAAAATGGTGGAGCAAGCTTCCTGTCTGACTGCTGCCAGTGGCTATCCAGAAGGGCAGCCAGCATTCCTAGAGCTTAAAAGTATGCAGTACACATTCTCCTGAGTTAAACCCTGAGGTTTAACTATGTTGTTAGTGTTTCAAAAACAGAGAAAATAGTAATTGTCTTCTGGCAAAGAGTTAATGACATATTATAGGTACAAATTCTATTACATCTGAGAACATTTCAAACAATGTTAGATGCATTTAAAGCAAGTGTCATTTGCACTACTCTCAGAATGTACGCATTTTAATCTCTGTTTGAATGGGGTTATTCTATCACTTCCAATTGTATTTATTGTGTTACTGCTCTGGGTTGCCCTACTGTTTTGGGTCACCAGTTATTGTTCTGAGTTCTGAATTTTCTGATTTCTCATCTGGTGTAATAGTCAATCTTTTTTTATTTGTTTTTCCTTTTTATTTGGATTGTTCATACAGTTCTGAATAGTTTGTTTTGCACTTTGCTGTGTAATGTATCTAAACTACTAATTGTAAATTAACAAAGGAAATTGCTTCTTCTTTTACCAGTTTAGGAACTCGTTGTTTGAATCTTTTGGGATTCCAGCAGTTCATGGGTGATAGCGAAATGACCTCTGATTTGATTGATGAAGGAAAAGAGCTAATTAGAAGAGGTAAATTAGGTCTTCTGTCATAGTCTCCCTGTAAAATCATACTGCCATAGAATCATCAAGGCTGGAAAAGACATCTAAGATAGAGTGCAAGCCTTAATCCAGTACTGATAAATTCACCACTGAACCATGTCCGCAAATGCCACACCTACACATCTTTTAAATATCTCCAGGGATGGTGACTCCAGACTTCCCTGAGTAGTTTATTTCAATGTCTGACAACCCTTCCAGTAAATATTTTTTTTCCTAATATCCAAACTTCCCTAGCACAACTTCAGGCCGTTTCCTCTTGTCTTGTTGTTTGTTACTTGGGAGGCCAACCCCTACCTCACTACATCCTCTTGTCAGGGAGTTGTTAAGTGTTTAGCTCTTTTCCAGGCTAAACACCCTCACCTCCTTCAGCTGTTCCTTATCACACTTGTGCTCCACACACTTCTCTGGACTCACTCCAGCACCTCAATATACTCCTTGAATTGAAGGGCCCAGAACTGGACACAGGATTTGAGATGTGGCCTTTCCAGTACCCAGCACAGAGGGCCAGTCACTGCCCTGGTCCTGCTGGCCACACAATTGCTGATACAAAGCAGGTGCCATTGGCTTTCTTGGCCACACCTTGTCTTATGCTCAGCCACTGTCAGCCAGCTCTCACTCCCAAGTCCTTTTCCAACAGGCTGCTTTCCAACTGCTCTGCCCCAGGCCTTTAGCATTGCATGGAGTTGTTGTGACCCAGTTGAAAATTTAAAGGAAAGTGGTTTGGTGAACGTTTCGATCAGCTCCCTCTGTCCTTTTGGGTCAATCCCATCTGGCCCAGAGACCTGTGTCTGTCCATGGCATGAGGCAGGTCACTGATCATATTCCCTTGGATTTTAGGGACTTTATTCTTTTCCCCATCCCTGCCTTCCAGCTCAGGGAACCTGGTACTCGGACAACAACTGGTCTTAGTCTTAAAGACTGAAGCAAAGAACGCATTAAGTACCTCAATCTTCCTCATTATATAGTATGTTTTTGGATTGCATTTGTCTGAAATGCTGCAGAAAAAAAAAGCATACTGTCTGTCACTATTTTGAAAGCTGTACTGAGGAATGCCACAATACAACCTGCAATAAACTTAGAGTGCTGTGGTCCCTATGTAAATTCCACTGATGGACTTCATTGATATCTTAAATGAAGTACCAGTTTTATTCATCCAGTATCTGAATTTTAGATATTTCTAAATATTTTACAGTGTGTTACTGAACATATAATACCTTAGCAGGTGCTTGTGTAATCTGTCATAAAGGATTGTTAACATTTATATTGTCTCTATCATCAACAAACTAAGCTTTTTTGTGTGTGTTGATTGAGCTGCATAAGAGCTGTGTTTAATTAGAGAAAGCATGTTTTTTATGTAGAACTGGAATGATCTGCTTTTTATTTTACATTAATTTTTACTGAAAGTATTTCTTAAAAGTTGCGAAAAGCCATTGTAATTTTTGAGTAAATGTTTAGAAATTAAAATTTCTGGATATAGTGTTATATTATGGAATACTTTTATTCCCATAGTTGATGAAAAACAAAACCTGTGTTTACTTAGAGTAGTAGTATTTGGGTTTCTTTTGGAGAAAGATCAAAGTTTCATTCCCTTAATTAAGGAGTTGTGATGACATTGATACTGTAATGTTACACTTCCAGCTTTATAACAGATAGGACACAACGTAATTGGGTCACAGTTTGGACGTTGCCGAACTTCATGAAGACCTTGATTCAAAAATGCTGAAGTTTTATTTTTTTTTTTTTTTTCTTTTTCTGAACATCACACTTTCCCAGTTATTTCTAAGTGTTTGATTTTTTTTTTTTTTTTNTTTTTTTTTTTTTTTTTTTTTTTTTTTTTTTTTTTTTTTTGCTTTGCCAGCTGGTATCCAAATGTAATGTTATGCTGTGATCCAAGATACCATCATGACAAAATAATTTTGATGGGAAACTCCAGAATGATAGACAAGCAGCTTTTTGTTTTGTTTTTCTTTCCTTTTAAAAGTCATGTATTTCAATAAGAATCTTTGTTAGTTAATTATAGATTTTCACTGCTTATTTTAAAAAATATTAATGATTTTCTTATATGGAGCTCAGACAAAGTGTTTTTATTATTTTTAGAGAAAAGAAAACGACAGAGGCAGGAAGAAGGTGAAAACAGAAGGAGGGTATGAGATTTTTTTTTGGCTAATAATAACATTATAATGCAATATTGAATAGGATTTATCATGGATATTTAATTCAGAATTATTTATTTCATAAAAAAAGAGTCACATATAATTGATGGAATCAGTTTAATCTTGCTGAATAGTCTTGATTGGGGGTTATTTATAGGAGGGTAGAGGACAATTTTAATGACCCTGCTTGGACACTGTTGTGACTCAGTATGCTGTGGTGTATGCCAATAGGTACAACAAGCATTGAAAAGGGTCCTGATTGCTAGGATACAAAATAAACTTAAATGGCATATTACCAGTCTCTTATACTGCTCTTACTGCTCTACTTGAAATAACTACAGTTTCAGAGTTGTCCTACTGAAACGTGGACTCCTCCCAAATTTATTGTTTTGTGTGCTCACTGGAAAATCATAGGCACAGGTTCTATTTTATTTTTTGCCAGAGGAGGGAGTTACATTTAAGACAGAATTAATAATTTCCACTGAATAACAAACAGAATGTATGATCAAAGTCATGTGTTCTGTGCATATTGCATTGAAAGATTTGTTTTTCACTAGTTTATAACAAAATCTAGTATGGAAAGTCACAATAAAAGATAGATGAGAGAAAGGATGCATGGAAGACAGTACTGGGACTAAAACCTCTTGGTTTTCCAAGATCAGGTATCATTTAATCCTAGATGACAGCCAGTACTGCATAGACCTTTCTTTTGATTGTTTCCTTCTTGTAGTTTTAAAACTTGAACTTTTCGGAAAGCAAAGTACCAAATGTATGACACTAAGCTACAAATTTTTCTGTGCTATGTGCATCTCGTTATTTTTCCATTTTGCCACTAGATGGAAGTAGTGATCAATAAAAGCAGCAGTTCCTGTCATAACTTAGAGCAGTTGGCTGAACTTTAAGAGCAGATTTGAGATGCTATTTCTTTTATAAAAGTATTTTTCTTAAGAACAATTATGGTAACTGGTTTAGCGAAGGAACACATTTTGCGTTTAAAATTAATCAAAAGTTCTTCCTGTATTTAGATACTGAACAGTTACTGTGTTACTTTTTCCTCCCAGCTTACATTTTTCTTGGTGGTCTTTTTTCCAGGAATGGAAGGAGCGATATGGAAATAGAGATGATTCCACCAGAAGCAGAGCTGTCCACACAGACCAGAAAGAATCCAGCTTCTCAGAGACCAACGCCAATAGACGTAAGCTTTGTGGGTTGGAGGGGAAGTTCATTTTGTTTCGTTTCAGTACATTTTCTTCACAACACTGGCTGTGAAAGTAGTTTCAAATATTCTTCTTTTTGTCTTAGACACTGTGCTGACAATGTTGCCTTCTGTGGCTTGGTGTTGCCTTGCCTTTTAAGGCACTCAAAAGAATATTGTATTACTTTCCATCTCCAACTAGTTGGGATCTGAGATTCTTACTATTATTCAGACTAATTACTTGGTTTTATGGGATATATAAGGATTGCCATTAGAGTAGCAGTTGTCAACAAAGAAACTTCATGATACATCTTAAAGTTGGGTGTTGTAAATCTTAAAATTTACCTCTTCTGCTTGCAAGTGCGCTATCTCAGACTGGAATAATGGAGCAATTCAAATGACCAACAAATAACATCTCATAAGTGTATATACCTTAATTTAATAATGTCTATTAGCAAAATACTTTTTTTGTGGATGCTTTAAACTTCCAAAAAGTTTGTCAGAATGTGTTTTTTTCTGTATTTTTTGTGCTCTTGTAAGCTAACAACAAGTAAAATGAAACTGAAGAAAAAGGAGGAAAAAGGGGAGGAGGGAAGCTTTGAATATGCTTTTAAGAAAACACTGGTTAATGCTTTGTCTAAGTGAGCTAGGTCTTATAAACTCTTAGAGATAAGCATTATACCCTTGATAGTTCAGCTACTGTCAACACGGGGCACATTCCTACAGCTGGTAGATTTCCTTCTCCTCTGTACAAAGTTGATAACCCAGACTAACTGAAATTGCATTCTAATATTCATCATGTGATTGTGTAGCATTTCAGCTCTAAAACAAGATATAGATACTGACCTAGTGAAGGTCACAGAGTGAACTGCAGAACAACTCATGACATTGATTTTTTAAAAAATAACAAAAGTGAGCAAAAAGCCAGTCTGAACAGCTTAGGTAAAGCATGAAGCTGGGAGGATGAATGGATGATTTAAAAGTAATGCTTGCCAGTAGTTTCTTATTTTCCTTGATTCTTTGCAAGGTAGATCTCAACCTATTGGAGGGGCAAAAGTTGTAGTTTCATTTCTGTGGAGATACAAAATTAAAATACTACAAGTTTCAGTAAGTTTGGTTTAATATTAGATCTACTCTAAATCATTGCACTTTTGCTTTAGATGAGACTGCTTTGTTATTCTTAATGTTTTTTTTAAATTTGATGTCTCCATACCTTCCAGAAAGTTCACAAAGCAAATAAGTGTCTTTCACTCCTTTTACTTTTTCAGCACTATCAAAGTATACTCGTTCAAATGGTAGGACTGAAAGAGATAGAATAGAACTCCTCCAGGATGCAGAACCTTTGGATTTTAATGCAGACTCTGTTAATGATGACCCCCTTGAATCGGACTCGGGAAGGTGAGGGATAATGTCTGTAATTTCCAGTAAAAAGTTTCTGCTGTCTTCTGTTTTCTTACCTATGACAGCTGTATCAAATGTTTCATAATAAGAGTGTTGTAAATGAAGTTTATAATTTCATCAATTTTTTTCCTTTCCTCCTTTTCCCCTATAATAAGGAAATAATTTAAAAACTTATTAAAACCAGAAGGTATTCCAGGTTTTTTAGAAATGTCAGAGTAAGATTTGAGCTGGATATACCGTTATATATGGAATAATTTGAAAAATGCTGCATATAAAACTAGCAAATTATGTGCATATTAAGGGAACATCCCAGTGTAACCATTCGTGGTGAAGTCTGGTGATCACAGTTGTGACACCCCAGACTTTCACTGCTGGGACTGAAGCCCCTTCACCACAGGCAGTTCCAGTGACCCAAGGACCAGGGGGACCAAGTCCCCCTTTCCCTCCCTATTAACCCCACTGTCACAGACAGAAAATTTTCCCTTTCCAGCTTGACTGCAGATTTCCATAAAAGAGTACCAGGTATCTGATTCCTTTAATTGTGGTGCAGTGACAGCATAACAGCTCAAATTGGTGCCTCTAGGGAGGAACACCAAACAAAAGAATCCGTGAGCTTTTACACCCTCAGAGCCCATGTGCACTGTAATCCAGGCTCTTCCAGCTAAGCTCTTGGCTCCTGCATGGTCTCCAAGTGTCCAGTCCACTGGCTGGGCCATAAGTCCCTGTGCCCTTTGTTAGTTGTTCATGTCACTTTGCCAGGGCCTCCCATTTCCTGACATCAGGGTACAGCCTGCAGCTGCATACTGAGCTACCAGGTCTAGATGTATGCCTCAACAGACAGATGTACAGTGTAAGGTCTTCCCTGATTTCCTACAAAGCTCAGCTGGAGAAAGCTCACTTGGATTTCCCAGTATAAAATCCATTATGAAAAGGCTGCAGGAAAGAAAAGCGATTGTTACAGGATCTGCTGCAGGAATACAGCTGAGTATCAGATCTTGAAACTACTATAGAAGAGAGAGTACCAGGCTGCACTGTACAGCTCTGTCTGTAGTAGAGAATTTTGTTACTCTGTGGTTGTGACTAGAACACTGAATTTCCTCCTTCACGGAGTACCTTATGTAACTGCTAAGCTCTGCTTATATTTAAGAAACAAGCAATAGATTGTATGAGTGCTATTTTTTTTTGGGGGGGTGTTTATATTGTAGAAATGACAAATAATTTAAAATGTGTTGTTTTTCAGCTAAAACTATTTTACCCAATCAAAAAGAGTCACAGATAGTCATTGTTTCAGTGGACTTCTATCTATAATATCAGTAAACAAATGCCAGCTCAGAAACATGCAAAGAATGCTGTGGAATGGCATTGCTGGGTTTCACAGGTTGATACAGACAACTAGTTTAGTCTCATGTCACCACATTTGAGCACTTGAGGGTTTTTAAACACAAGAGTTTAAAGAGGAACTACCCTAGAATTTCTGTCAGCAGTTAGCTTCCATGCAGTGTCAAAGGGATTGTTTACTAAAAACAGCAGTAGACAATTACATGCAAATGTAATTATTCTGGAGCAAATACTTTTCAAACATGGTGTCAGAAGTCTTTGGGAATCGGTACATGCTTTGCAAAGCAGAACATTCTAAACTTTGTCTTTAAAAAGAAAATTAGGAGCTTCAAAGCTTAGTTGAGTTTCACCTAGTTAACCTTCATTTCATTTCATGAAGGTAATAAATCAAGAGTAATTGCATGTGGAATTTCTGTTAATTTAGAGGAAATTAATACATAAGCTATTATGTAACATTGGTTTTCAAAACTAGAGCTCCTGCAATACATAGAACATTTTTGGACTATAAGGGCAGTTAGGACACCAGGTTCTGGCTTTGTGTTCATTCAGATTTTGCTAAATACTACAGCGAGGAGCTTCATTGGGCCTGTGTTGGCTCTTGTGCTTTTAAAGTGTTTCTAAAATATATTTGATCAACAATTTGTGAAGTTTCTCTTTTACCAATAAGCATGCAGGCATTTGTTTGAGGCAGGCATTGTCTTTGATACTGTATTTCTTCTAAGAATACCCCATGAAATGTACTGTTAAGCACCTGCAGCTACTTTATGGGTATCATTGTTTGTTTGGGTTTATTGTGTTTCAGGTTTTTGTTTGTTTAGTTGTTGGTGTGGTTGGGAGTTTTAAAAAAGGTCCTGTTCAAGCAAAACATCCAACTCTTTTCCTTTGTTTTAGGAAACACAGTTAAGACTCCCAGTATTCATATAACTGTTTTTCTTGGTCACATGAAGTTTAATTTAATGACTGTTTTTCAAATTGTCATGGAAACTAATTCAGTATAACATAGAGTTCATCATTCATCAGAGTTAAGCAGTAAGATTGCAATGAGAGTTAGATGATTTAATGGGTCTTTTATTTTTCTCTTTCCTGTGACACTTTTTTAAAATTGATTCTGCAGGTACCAGCCTGGTGGAAGATACCTGTCTATGTCTCGAAGCAAAATATTTGATGATGTCTAAGCTCATCAAAGCTAAAGAAAATTCAGTGGAAATATAGCTTCTACTCATTGCTTGGAAAATTGTATTTGCGATAGATCACTGAACCATCAAAGACTCTTTTAAAAAAAAACATGAAGGAACAACTCTTTTGGACATGCACATTTATGATAACTTCACCACTTGTGAAGTGGTGAAGTTTTATACCTTTTGGTATAAATTTTGGAATGATGTGTGTTCGTCAAAAAAGGCTGTATTTTTTGTTTTCCAACATTATACATGGGCATATGATTTTAGCATATATAAATAGTTGAAATTTAAAAGGGACCTGAGTGTCACTGTCATATGAGCATATGTGCAATAGCAAGAATACATTGTTGAAGATACAATGTCTGCTTAAGATCTTTACAGATTTAATTATTCAAAATCATGGCACTCTAGCATTTTTATAACTGTAAAAGAAACTTACTATGAAGATGGAGTTATATACTGAAACATGGTAATTTGCATGCACCTCAGGCACGGCTTCAAACTGTAGAGTATTTCTTTAAAAGAAGGGAAATACATAGCATGACTAGGTAATGCTAAACACTTTTAATATCCTAAATACTCTGGTTGCATTATGTATCAGTTTTTTAAGGTGCCTGTATTTTGCAGTAGGTTGTTGCAAAAAGAGTAATACTTTGCCATTCAAAAATGCCAATTATTAACAGTGTAAAAAAAGCTTCACTTTAATTTCATTAGTGTAGGCATATTTTTAAACCATAGTTAGTTGTATGAATTTTCAAATATAATCATAAGGTAAAATATGTGGTCAAATTAATTATAATTTTCATAATTTGAATAATTTAAAATGCTGCTTTTATCCAGTTTGTCTGAAATCTTTACCACTTGGGAGCTTTCTTATGTGCTTATTGCAAAGTTACATTGAAAATTAAAAGAGAACATGTTTTTAGTATACATTCTTTATCATGCTTGAAAAACACATCCCTTAAAGCAGCTAGGAACGAGTTATTCTGAAAAGTAAATTTTCATGAATGACATTCTAGTAATTTTTTGAATAGTCTGTGTTTTTTCAAGTAATTGTTAATGGGGATCTAACTCTACCTCCTGTGATTTTAGTACACGTGTTGTGATAGTAGTGGGATTTGTAATACATTGATCTGCCTGTTTTGAAACACTGAATTGTTATGATGAAGGAGAAAAAAAATCTTTATTTGTATAGAAATAATTATATTAATAAATTGGCAGACATCAAATAATTGTCAGTTTTATTCTTAGGTGAATACAGTGAATGTCAGCCATGCCCACAGGCATTCAAGCTCATGCAATTTCCAGACTACTCATATGAGGTCACTTTTTAGTTTGAGTAATTTGTGTTCATAAAAGCTTTTTCCATGTCTTAGGCTTGAATCTTATCAGGTACTGGAAGTTGAGAAGATGAGTCTCTTTATTCAGATATTTCTTCAGGAATTCTACAGTAGCACCTATTTAATTTATGTTTGAACTACTTAGTACTGCTATCTTAAATTCATCCTTACATGAAAGGTGTATATGTTCTTGGGCACCTAACCACATAAATGTTCTTAGACTCCATATTTTTGTTTTAAAAATTTGTATCAGTGGTTTATAAAAATCTTTGGCAGAAATAAAATTCAAACTCTTTAACTTTTGAGATGTCACTTCAAAGGGATCTAATTCAGGGCCAGTAGAAAAGCTATTAGAAGGAGCATCTGTTTTCTGAAAATCTGTGAAATAACCTTACCTAGTCCCTTGTGACCAGCCAATGGGATTGAGCCTTCTTGGGACCTGTTTTTTCCCCTTTCAGTGAAATGGCTGCAAACAGAATTTTCAGGGGAAATGTGGTCAGGATTTTATATATAACAGGGAACTAGTCCCTAGTGCAGATTTCACTGGAATACAGTAATTTGAAGAGTTGACTGTATAAATTAATGGCAGTGGAATTTCAGATTTAACATAGACATTCTGAGCTGAGCATTTTTGATGTTGCAGTGGAGTAAGGGAGAACCAGTAGCTGCTTTTGGAGCTCTGAAAAGCTCTAAAGAATTCTCTGTATTGTGCTTGGCAATGCCTGGTGTCACATCCTCCCTGGATGTTGTTCGGATAAACAAAGAGTTGGTAAGTGAAGTCAGGTTTCCTCTGTAGTGTGTATTGCTGACCAGGAGTTATCCAGGCTCTAATTACATGCAATTTACTGGCTAAGTTAAAGTATGTTTTGAAAACTCATTATGGGTTCATATGACTGAATCTGGAATACTTTCAATAAAGAAATATGGTGTATAACTATAGAAGAATAATATTTGCTGTTCACTTGAGCTAGTTTCAAACAAGTTTGGTTACTGCTAGTACAAATAATGCAGAACTTGGCTGGGGGCTGTGTCCCTAAGGATTTACCCCACTTCAGAGAGCTGTGGATGCCCTGTCCCTGGAAACATTCAGGCCCAGGCTGGACATGGCTCTGAGCTCCCAGATGTAGTTGAAGATGTGCTGGCTGGTTGAAGAAGGCTTAGACTAGGTGGCCTTTACAGATCCCTTCCAACCCAAACTGTTCTGGGATTCCATGGTGCTTCTCAGCCAGATTGTGACAATTCTTGATGGGTTCTTTCCTGCTACAGCTCCCAACCCAACAGCCCTACAGCTAGATGAAGTTAAAACTAGCTTTGATATGTTTAAGCAGTGACTGTACTCTAGACCAACAGTATTCCTGCATCACTTCTGATGCTCCAGATTAGGTGATTTCAAAAACAATTCCCTTGCAAACGATGCTTTTGGGAACTGAGCGTTAATGTATTTTTCTGTCAGTGTATATATAGAGTCATATTTATTTGCTGCTAAAGAATGTCAATTATATATTTCTTTATTATTTCACTTCCTGAATTACTGAGCAGTTAGTGTACACATCTTGGCATCATTTCTGCAGTTTTCTCTCCATCAGTGAACACTGAAAAAAGCCCCAAAACACCAAAAATCCCACCCAAGTACAAATGTTTGAATGTCTTCCTGTCAAATATTTAAATGAGTGAAAAATAATGTGTGCAAGTCACAACGAGCTCCAAAAAGCAGTGTGAAAACAGTGCCTAATCAGTGTTGGAGTTCTGTACTCAAACTTAGTACTCCTACTAGATTTATAGTTCTCTTTTTCTTACTACATACTTCCCAGTATACATACTCATCTAAGGAGGGGTGCATCTCAGCTGTGAAGTGAGGCAGTGTTTTTATGAGGGAAGGTAAAAGGTATGTAAATTCTAATCTGTGCTCATAGTGATAGTCTGCTTTGGGCAAAGGAAGACGTAGCTCTTTATTTAACTACAATGAAGTCTTAAGAAAAAAAGAAACTTTATGCTTCTATAAATTACACTACTGAAAAATCATGGTATGCAATCTTGACTTTATTTTGCAATCAAGCACTTGTAAAGTAGTCATTAAAAGTATTAACAGGGATGGTGGAAAGCTACTGTCCTTTCAATATTTATTCATGCTGTTTTAAAATATAACATGGAAAATTATTTTTACATACGAAGTATTAAAAATTATTACTATGATTTTCTATAATTATGGTAATTTGTATTTTACTAATTTTCTGGATTACTGTAAATATGTGAAAAATACTACATTTAGTTTCAGTTTTTATTATTGCTTTAATTACTTGAAATCTGAGGGGCATTCATAATACCAAATAGAGAACACTTTATGAAGGAAAACTTTATTAAGCTTCTTTTAAAAAATCTGACTGGTTCATTACAGACATAATAGGTGCATCTTCATTATTAACAATACACTACTAAGGGGATATATAATGTCCTAAGTTTTTAATTTTTCTTTGAAATTAAAAAAAAAAATTGTTACTTTTTTCAGAGCAGCTTAGTTGTGAATCTTGTAAACTTTCTGAAAATTTTACATTTCCTATCCCTGATGGGCTCTGCAGGAATATGTACTGCTTCATGGCAGTCACCTAATACTAGCTGTGCCTCTAATTAAGTAGTCTAATCTGAAGCTGAGACACTCCTACACCATTTGATTATAGTAACAGAAATTCAGCATTCCTAGCAAAAAGAAAAAAAGGCACGTAGATAGATCCCTTTTAAATACATTAATTACTGTTGTTGATTTTATTGCATTATATTTGGTACCCTCTGTTTGGGTCATATGGTAAGCCACATCGGGTTTATTCTTTGTTTCTCTTAGAATGCATTGGAACAAAGTTCTCAGCATGCTTTTGTGTGTATGTGTGTTGTTTTAGTATGCAGATTCAGTTATTTCCTCAGGATAATGTTGTTATATATGACATATTCCTGAGAACTAGTAGTTTCAGAGTGATACCTTAGCTGTCACTGTAGAAATTAATTATTTCCTATAGAAATACATTGTGCTTCTGAGTTATCTGGAAGATAAGGGAATTCATTTGTAAGTATGGTTTTAGTAGTTGACCTCCATTCTCCAGTGTATATCAAGATAGGCTGTAGGAGTGCTGCTTATGGATAGACTATCTTATTTTGCCTTATGATACAAGTATGTATGCATAAATACCTTGTTTTGAAATTCATGGAGTTAAACATTTTTTCTGTAGTGTTCTGAATTACTGTTGTACTGGATTATATTTTTGAAATGTGTGTTATAATATATATAGTCAAATACTTAAATTGGCATGAAATAAATAATTTCTGCAATACATTTACCCTGGTGTATTTTAGATATTGATACTTCTCTGAAGTGTTTTTGAAAGTAGTCTTTTAGAGAAACTTGACCTATTTCTTTTTTTCCAGGTGGAAGTTATTGCTTACATGTTTATTGCTTTTATCTTCCCTACAGGAAAAAAAAAAAGTAAAGGAAGAAGAGCTTTTTTTTTTTAATTTAAATATTTTCCTATCTCTGTAAGTTGAGGGAGGTGATTCTGCCCGTCTGCTCTGCTCTGGTGAGACCCACCACTGCTGAATCCAGCTCTGTGGTCTCCAGTATAAGAAGGCTGTGGACCAGTTGGAGCAAGTCCAGAGGAGAGATGCAAAAATGGTCAGGGATCTGGAGTGTGTCCCCTGTTTTGAAAGGCTGTGTTGAGTTTGTTCAGCCTGGAGAGGAGGAGGCTTCAGAGAGATCTCACTGCAGCTTTCAATACTGCTGGAGGGTTTACAGCTGAGATAGAGCCCACAAGGGATAATGGTTTTAAACTGAAAGAGGGTGGATTGAAGTAAAATATAAGGAAGTATTTTACATGAGAGTGGTGAGACAATGCCACAAGTTGCCCTGAGAGGTGGTGTATGTCTCATCTCTTGTAGCTTTCAATATCAGGCTGGAGGGTGCTCTGAGCACCCTGATCTAGCTGAAGGTGTTCACATTCTTTGCAGTGAGGTTGGAACTAGATGACCTTGACATTCTTCCAAGCCAAACTATTCTGTGATTCTGTGAGTGATCTTTGTATTAGAGGTGGTTTGAATAGGGAAGTGAATCATTCTCCAAATAACTAAGCATCCATACTCTTCCTCCAGATTTAGTGTGATAAGTTACTGTCCAAGATTTAAAAAAAAAAAAAACACAAAAAAAACCGTTTTCCAATTCCCATCTGAGTAGGAGTTGCCTTGGGGCAGTTTTCCTTATCTGCTGTTAATGGCCCCATCAATGCCTGGCCACATGACTCAGAGATAACACTGTCCAGGAGGAGGAGGTGATTAAGGACACACCTTGTGACTCCTAATAACCCATTCTGAGATGCTCTGCCCAAGGGGAGGAGCTAGGCATTCCCACCTGGATAAAACTGGAGATTTCTAGACAGAGGAGAGCCTTTTCACAAGTTCTCCGAGAAGACACAGCAACTACATCTGCCATCCCAAGAGGACTGCAGCTACTCCAATTCGGACTGCTACCAGCGCGCTGGCCAGGTTGTATTCTGACTTTGTCAGTAGCCTTTCCCTTTGTATTATTGCATGTATTTTTGTCCTTTTCCCAATAAATTGTATTTCTGACTTGGAGTCTCTCACTGGCTTTGCTTTCAAACCAGAACAGTTACTACTCTTAAATCTACCAATCTACTATCTGTGCAATTCAGTTGATGGGAATTGTCCTTATTCAATACTAACTTTCAGTTATTTCTTGTTAGATGTTTATTTGCTCAGAGACCAATATAAAATCTAGTGTTTAGTTGTTAGCAGTTGCTAATGAAACTACATTGAGTGTTCAATGGATTTTACATTTTCTGAAATACCATGTGCCTGACTGTGAAATTACCAGGCTTCTGAATTAACTCTACCTTTCCCTCTGCAGCTCCACCTGCAGAGTGCCGTGGTGCTTGTTCATTCTAGTCTCTGCTCTGTATGCTGTGATAAAGATCTTTACCCTTTCTCTCCATAAAAATCCCATCTTTCGAATCTTGTTCTACATTGGTTCATTACATGCTATTGCCTTTGGGATTTTTAGAGAGCTTTATCAAAAGCCAAAGTTGTTCAGGGCCCAAGGTTGGTCAGCTGAGGGAGAAGACAATTTCCCTTCACGGGCAGCATGACCTGGACTGCAAAGACAGATTCAGCTCATGAGCAGAGGTCAGGTAGTGATTTATTGTGGAATGATTTATGTGGGCTGCACACAAACACATGAAAAGCTCCCAGGATCCTCCTGCAGAAATGTGTGTGTTTTGAGTTGCCCAGCAAGATGTTGTGCTGTAACTGAGCCAGTGCTTAGGCATGTCTGTTGAAGCCTGCTAAGCCTTTGAAATCCAAGTGAATGCATAATAGTTAAATAATCAACAATCAAAAAAATAATTTTCAGAGTTTAGGAAAGGTCATCTATTCTAAGTAAACTTCACAAAGACCAGATGCTGGTGGGAATTTTCCTTGTGTATTCTCTGGTCATATTTTTCCCCAGAGGCTGCTCCTTCCACAAGCATTTGTACTTATGTTTTTTATTTTAGAAGATTTTGCTGGTTTCAAATCTGTCCTGAACGAGTGCTTGAGATCGCCCAAAAACTCTCCAACAAAGGTATAAGCAAAAGTCAGATTTAATATAAACTAAAAAGCACAATGAATGTTTTTTAGTAAGCATTGGTAAGAGTCACTCTACTTACAAAGGACAACTGAGGCACAAGGGAAAAAAAGCAACAACAAAACCAAACAAAATCCAGGCAATCAAAACAGAAATTAATTGAAAACTACCTTGGGGGGGGGGGGGGGGGTGTTTGCGTGTGTGTGTGTGTGTGTGTGTGTGTGTGTGTGTGTAAAACAGTGTAAACAAGGATGACAAGGAATGCGGCCTGAAGTTTAACAACACTAACAGTGCTTTAGCTTACCTTACATCTTAATTTATAGCTTAACAGTGTGACATAGCAACACTCCCTTCAGAAACGGCTTGTGTGTGGAAAGGAATGAGGCTAAGCCAACCTAGGGCAGAGAGAGACAGGACAAAGGAAGTGTGTTGAGAGGCAAAGTGAAGTGTGGGGTGTGTTTGAGCAGTGGTGGGAAGGGACATATGAGTTCTGCTGGCTCCTGGAGTGAGTTTATCACCTTTTGCTGCTCACAGCCTTACCATGTATTTTCAGTAGGAAATCTGATAACAACGTGATGATGGCTGGCCCCTAAGGCCTAAGAATATGTAGCTTTGACTGCAGAGGAGTGACAAAAGCCTGAGTTGGGCTTAGTACTGTGCCACCGCCTTGTAGCTTTTGCCCTTCATTTCTGGTATTAAACCCAAGCACTGTTCATGGCTTGAAGTTAGGGATTTCCTGACAGGGAAATTGATGAGATGATCTGGTAGAGGGCATGAGCAATCATGCAATTGAGAGCACCAAAATAAAATACTTGTGGGTTTGCCTCTCAGACAATTCAGTGGTGGGGTGGGAAGACATAGACACTGGGAGCCATGCCTTCTGAAGCAATGCCTAGAAGGGCTTCATAGATCAGCAGAAGCTTGTTTTCTCTGAGCAATAAATATTGCAAAGACTGTAGTTAAAGAAAGAACACTCATGGAGTGTAAAGCAGTAGCCAAGCAATTGGCCTGGCATCTGCAGGCTCAGGGCAGCAAATGGCAGAGTCTCTCCCAGGTACCCACAGAGGTGGAAGCCCTCTACTAGAGGGGATGACAGCATGAGTTAAGGTAAGTGTGCCCCTTTTGTTGGTTCTGAATGATTTGAAATTTATTTAGAGCTAGAAGTAAATAAAAACCTTTAAAACACTTCCAGAAAATGGGATGAACTTTTTTCCTGTTGAAAGGCTGTTGAAATATAATCAGATATTCAATCAAGATTTACTGGGAACAATAACACTAATGAGCTCTAGGAATTGCCAGGAGCCATAATTACTAATGAGCTCTAAGAATTAACAAGCTTGATTCTACTCTTATTGAAATGAAGGCCTTTGTTAGCAGCAGTAGCAAACTATGTCTTAGGTGGTCCTTTCTCTGGGAACTGTTAATAGGCTTGACTGAGCTCATTAATATATTTGAACAAAGAACAGATATTAAACCAGTCATTAGATTAGCTATAGATTCTATCCATTGGAACCCATAGCTTGTTGATCCTTCAGAGGGATCCAAGCTGTAATGTTAAGTGAGGCAATTTTATCTACCACAAGACAAGATGACACTTCATTTACTTTGGAGTAGATATGCTGATAAATACTAAACCAGTATCCCTCTAGAGAAATACGCTCAGGAACAAGACTGAGAATAGCAGGCCCAATGTCACAATGAAGAGATCTGAGCTTTTGTTTTTTGCTTGGAAATCTTTTAGCACTTGCAGAGAACAATAAAATATCACAGTCTGCACAGTCCTTGCGTTCCAATGGCATAGTGCAAGATTCAAAAGTTGTTTCCTTGGATGCTTACACTTGAGATACTTTTCATTTCTCTGTTACTTTAAAATCAAGAACTCTTACACTATGCTATCTTCCACCTTGGCTTCTGCCACAAAATCAGGAAGAGCACCATAGCAACTCTTAACCTATGCAGAGTCAAGTTTCTGTTGGATTTGATTTTTATTTCTTTGGCAACATTTTCCAATTTGCTCTGTTCTTGATTTTCTGGTGACAGAAAGTGATCCTAGAAAGATGCAAAAAACCTTTTCTTAACATGGCTTGAGAAGTATCCAGCTAAGTAGGGATGAACTAGTGAGACACAAGACACAGGAGTGTAGATCCCAGCTTGTGTCTTGCTTACAGTAGGGCACTCTGCTATAGTACACACCTTAATTTGCTACAGCCGAACAGGAAGGATTTAAAAACATCATCCATGTTATGCCAAAATTCTCTTTCAAGAAACTGAGGTCTTTGTGCATAATAGTGGTATGCCAGTTGGTTCATAAAACTCAGGTAAGTGCTGAACTTCTGTCTGTAATGGAAGAAGAGCAAGACTCTTTACTTGGGTTCTATTGCTTTTGTACAATTTAATTGCTACTTCCTTGTCAGATCTATAAATTGTGAATTCTTTAAATTTTAATAGTTTAGAAGTTAATGAAGTTAGCTAACTCCTCATTACTTTTGAAAAGAATAAAAAATATCCTTGAAAAATAGAAAATATCCTTTATTCCTATTATCACTTCAATGCATACTTGTAAGATTAAATGTCTTTCAGAGCATGTCTGCTTAGAGCAGGAGCACATATCTTGTATCAGCAGCTTCTTTGTCAGCTGCATGTGTGATTGTCCCACCCAAGTGCTGCCACTTCCCATCCCACACCACCACACACTCTTCTGGACT